GATGCTGTGGCTGCCTCAGGATCAGCTACATTGACTAATGGGACTCCCTGCCCTGCACTGACCAATCAGTGAAGACCATGACCCTGAAAGAACACACCTGGAAAGCTTTATTTTTATTTTTTAAAAATATATTTTATTGATTTTTTTTTACAGAGAGGAAGAGAGAGGGATAGAGAGTCACAAACATCAATGAAAGAGGTTCATCCATCAGCTGCTTCCTGCACACCCCCTACTGGGGATGTGCCCGCAACCAAGGTACATGCCTTAACCGGAATCGAACCCAGGACCTTTCAGTCCACAGGCTGATGCTCTATCCACTGAGCCAAACCGGTTTTGGCTGATGAGTATTTTAGTGAGACCTACTCCTGAGACCTCCCCTAAGATTCCCACCTGCAAGAAAGAGATAAGTATGCTCAAGACATGGGACCCAGTGCACGCTCTCCTCCAGGGAGCACACGTATGCCATCCCCTCTCCACCTCTTCCTCCACAGGCAGGCATCCCCCAACCTCTAAGGGACCCCATGAGACTTGCAATCAGGATAGCAATGGGCAGAGGTAGCTTGTCTCCAGCTAACCCCTGAACCTGTCTCCAAGGCCCCCTTTTCTCCGACTTCTCAGTGAGCCAAAGCAGCCCACCAAGGCTCTCCTGTTGCTTCTTCTATGTCCTTCCTTGTTTCGCTGTCCTAAGTATATTTTTGCTGCCATCCTGGACAATACCCTCTGGCTCAGTGCTATGTAACCCTTCCCTTTGGATATCTCCGTCTCCCATCCTCTTTTTCCTTAAATAAATTTAATTTTTCATTATTCAATGTCTGAGACGGCTATTTAGCCTGCCTGCACACCACTGACATTAACCTTTCAATTAGATGTGTTGAAGCAATAGGGTTTTCAAAAGTAGTTTATTACCTGTACAATAATTCATTCAATAGCACCATGGTATTACTCTGGATCCTGCATACCCATGAAGACAACAAATACATATATATTTTTTAATTGCTTTCAGAGAGAGGAAGAGAGAGTGAGAGAGGGCAAAAGATAGAAACATAATGATGATTCATCCATTGGCTGCCTCCTGCACACCCCAAATTGGGGATTGAGTAACTTGGGCATATGCCCTGACTGGGAATTGAACCATGACCTCCTAGTTCATAAGTCGACACTCGACCACTGAGCCACTCTGGCTGAGCTACCTTTGGCTAATATTTACAGCAACAAGTTTTTGAGCTATGTTGTTTATAGCCAACACTTCAAAAATTAAAAGCCTTCTTCCATCCTTCCTTCCCCCTACCTTGAGAAGGCTAATCCTTATTTTGAAATTCTCTGCTGCTGAGCAGTCAAATAAGATGAAGAACGAGAACTGATCAGTGAATTTAGCAACTTGGGAGCTGTTGACAAAAAAGGTTTAGTGGAATGGCAGGGGTGAAAGGAATTGGTAGGAGGAAAATTGGAGACAGCAAGTAGAGACCATATTTTTGAGATTTGCTGTAATAGGTGTGTGGACAAAAGGAGCCACATGCTAATCTGACAAGCTCAGGGGAGGCCTGCATGGCAGTCTTGCAAACTCAGAGACCTAAAATAACCACAAAAAATGGTTTGAAAATTAAATATTTAAACTACAAAGAGGTTCTAGCGGGTAGTCATGTCGTAGGCCGATATTTCCCCTGACAAAGATCAACTTAGATCTTCTTTACGGAGCCCATTTGCCTTTTTCCCTCTAAGATAACATATCTGTGAGATGTCTGGTTAACTTGTAACTTCCTTTTTTCTGGAGTCCCTGGGGCACAAGCAAATGTGGTGGGCGGCAGGATAGATGCCTCAAATTCCTTCTTTGCCATGTTAACTGTTCCTGTACCCACCTAAGTACACGTCCATCATTTTACTTTTTATCCAATCCTAGGGGTTTCCCATTGTAAGGTTTGAGGCGCAGGAAACTGACCACCAAGGAGTTTTAAAGTTTATTCCCCAGTGATGAGTGGGACTCATTACGGAGGTAGAGAAATCAGAATTGAAGGAGTTGGGAGGGAGGATGGACTCAGCAGGGCTGCCACCTGGACATGGAGGATCAGCAGCATGTGGCTGGTGTGGGGGTCTTTTTAAGGGGAGAAACAGGAGAGGGTTGGACCCAGGGCAGAACAGGAAGGGGTGGGCTCCAGGACACTTTGGCAGGCGCTGATTGATGGCTCAATGTCTTGGAGATGTCTCTGTGACAGGTGCCAGTAATGCCATAACTCCGCCCACCAGTTGGGAGGAGGGAGAACCTTATACCCACCGCTTTGCTTTCTTCCACCTCCTTAATCCATCACCAATAAATTTCAAGTAACCCACCTATGCCTCTCCTTTGATTGCAATGTATAAATAGAAATGTAACCCGCCATTCTTCGGAACATTATCTCAATCCATTGAGGTTCTGCTTCTGTCGACAGTTTGATAAACTCACAAAAATTCTTTACAGGTTTCAATGCTTTCCCCCCCCATTAACAGGTGGAAGAGATATGGGGGCAAGATCTGAATGGAGAAATTAGATAAAAAGAAAGTTTTTGTTCTTTAATTATGGGGGGGAAATCAGCTTGTTTATATGCTGGTAGCAATAATCCAAAAAGGGGGGAAAGATGATAACGCAGGGGGAAAAGGATGTTGCTGGATGATATTTTTGCATAAACAGGAGGAGGTGTGATTTAGTGCTCAAGTCCAGGGGTTGGTTTTAGAAAAGAGAATTTATACTTTCATGCTCACCGCACAGTAATAGGAGAGAATGCAAGACGAAGAGCCTCTACTGGTGGGTAGATGTGATAGTGTGAGGTTGGAGTGTTTTCTTTAAATTATTTATTGGCCTTCTCCCTCTCTCTTTTTCATATTTCAAAAATTGGCATGTCTTCTCCCAATTTTTACATATGTGCTGCCAAAGCAAGCACAATGGCTTTCCTTTTTTTTAGTGGAAGAAGAAGCTGACAGTTTGGTGGCAGAGATATTGGAAGTTTGAAGACAGAGAAGTTATTAAATAGTAGTTTAAAAAATATATATATTGCCTGGCCGGTGTGGGCAGTAGTTGAGCGTGGAACTATGAGCCAGGAGGTCAGGGTTCCATTCGGGTCAGGTACATTCCAGGTTTCGGGCTCCATCCCCATTAGGGGCTTGCAGGAGGCAGCCAATCAATGATTCTCTCTCATCATTGACGTTTCTATATCTTCCTCTCCCTTCCTCTCTGAAATCAATGAAAGTTTTTTTTTTTTTTAATAAAGAGTATTGATTTGAACTGGAATTAGAAAACTCTATTTTGACTTCCAGATTTTTCCCTCCTCAGGTGGGTACCATTTCTCAATGGGTAAAATGCTCAGAATTTCTTTGTTTTGTTTGAATATTAAATAAGAGAATAAACGTGAAGAAAGGCTTTTGGCAAAGTTATTAGTACTTGAAAAAAATAAGTTTAACATTTGAATCCACTCCTCAAGGACTTGCTTTGTAAGCACTGTCAAGGGTTTTACACACATTGTCCTACTTAATCCTCACATGGACCCGCGAGGCGTTCCCACCCACCGGGTTTACAGCCGGGAAGCGAGCGTCTGAGGCATTGAGAATCTTGCCGGGGTTCAGAGTTAGTAGAAGGCGGAGCGGCATTCCAGTCCAGGATTTAAATCCCAGGTGCACACTCTTCCTGCACCACCCCCCTCCAAGACACGTTTTCTTCCTGATTACCTAAAGTAGAGTAATTTACTGCTGCCTCGGAGCAGGCTGTAAGGGTCTTCTTGGTACATTTTAGGGAACAAGAAAGCCGAGTAGTTCATTAAAAAATATATATTTTTATTGATTTCAGAGAGGAAGTGAGATAGAAACACCAATGATGAGAGAGAATCACGGATCGGCTGCCCCTGCACGCGGGCCCTGGGGGTGGAGCCCACAACCCAGGCACCGGCCCTGGCCCCATAGAACCACTTTCTCCTTCGTGGGCCCGGCTCGGCACTGAGCCTCACGGCCCGGCCTGGGAGTTCACTTTGTGATACGTATGACGTCAGAAGCGGTTTAACAAGTGATTCATCCAATGTCTGCAGTTCAAACAGAGAGGACTGATCGACCAGAGGGGCTGTTGCCAGATTTTTAGGAGAAAGGTTTTTAAAAATATGTATTTTCAAGCTGAAATCGGTTTGGCTCAGTGGATAGAGTGTCGGCCTGCGGACTAAAAGGTCCCAGGTTCGATTCTGGTCAAGGGCACGTACTTGGTTGGGGGCACACCCTCAAGAGGTAGCTGATTGATGTTTCTATCACACTCCTTTTCCTCTCTGTAAAAAGTCAATAAAAAAAGTTTTTTCCCCCCCAAGAGTCACATAAAATGACATATTCCATTTGGGGCACACCCTCAAGAGGTGGCTGATTGATGTTTCTATCACACTCCTTTTCCTCTCTGTAAAAAGTCAATAAGAAAAAGTTTTTCTCCCCCCAAGAGTCACATAAAATGACATATTCCATTTGGGGCACACCCTCAAGAGGTAGCTGATTGGTGTTTCTAACTAACTATCACTCTCTCTCTCCCTCTCTGTAAAAAATCAATAAAAAAATATATTTTTTTCAAGAGTCACATAAAATGACAATCCATTTCCCAGCTCCCTATAGCTGGCCCGGGCCCGCACGCCTCTGCGGGAGGACGGCCGGGGCCTCCCTGCTGAGCGGCGGTGCGGGGCGCGGGGCTCCCGGGCGGAGAAGGCTGCGGGGCTTCGGGGGCGGCCGGGCAGTAGGTCTCCCGGGCCAGGGCCGGAGGAGGGGGAGGTCGGCCCGGCCGGGTGGCGCAGTGGTCGGCGCGGCGGGCCCCGCGGGGGGGGGGGGGGGGGGGGCGGGGCGGCTCTGGGGCCCGTGCGCCTGCGCGCCGCCGCGCCGGGCGTTTCAAAAGCTCCGCCGCCCGGACCTGCGGCCTCCGGCGCTGCGGCTCCCCGTCCCCGTGGGACTCCGGCCCCGGGTCGCCGCCCGCGCTCCGCGCCCCGCGCCCCGCGCCCGCGCCCGCCGCGGCCGCCATGGTTCACTTCCTGCACCTGGACCTGCCGCCCCGGACCCTGGCCTCTCCGGGCGCGCGGGAGGACGCGCCGGGCCGCTGCGTGGTGCAGGTGCGGAGACCGGGGGGTGCAGGTGCGGAGACCCGGGGGTGCAGCTGCGGGGACCAGGGGGGTGTAGGTGCGGGGACCAGGGGGGTGCAGGTGCGGGGACCGGGGGGGGTGCAGGTGCGGGGACCAGGGGGTGCAGGTGCGGAGACCAGGGGGGTGCAGGTGCGGAGGCCAGGGGGTGCAGGTGCGGGGACCGGGGGGGTGCAGGTGCGGGGACCAGGGGGGTGCAGGTGCGGGGATCAGGGGGTGCAGGTGCGGGGACCAGGGGGTGCAGGTGCGGGCCGGGGCGCGCGGCTTTGGCGGTGCGTTCGGCCCCGCGGGGGTGAGGCTCCGGGAGGGAGCGGTCCACCCGCAGCCCCCAGCTGAGCGGCGTTGCCGGGAGCCAGCCCCACCCCGAGACCCCGGGCGCCCCGCACCCCCCGGGCCTCTGACTCGCCTTTGGGGTGCCGCTGTTGTGCCGGGATGTGTAAGACAAGACCGGGGTGCTTATTGCCTCATGAACCCAAACGCCCCAAACCTGGTCGGTGGCCCCGCGTGTGCGTCGTGGAAGCCGAACTCCCCGGAGGCCCGGCCCCCGCGTCCTGCCCCCCGAGCCCTGACGCTCCCGCCGGCCTCCCGCGGCGCCTTTCACCGACGCCGGGCGAACCGCCAGCCCCGACTGCTTGGCGCCGCTGGCGGGCTAGTTTGTATCGCATTTCTAGAGTGAATCCGATTATGCTTGCTTTTTCTTCTTCTTTTTTTCCGGGGGGGTGGGGGGGTAAGGGGGCGGTGAGCATTATAGGCTTCGTGTTACTGGTGTGGAGGGGAGTTGAGATCCTGAAAGTCGATTGGCCTTTGAACTTGAACTTGATATCAGGTGTATCAGACTCCGCATTCCACAACAGACCCACCCAGGGACCACCCTCTGAGAACTCAAAGTTCAGCGTCGGCGCAACCCAAAATTAGAACAGAAAGAAGGAAATTATATTTTAAAAAATATTTTTATTGATTTAAGAGAGGAAGGGAAAGGGAGAGAGTTATAAACATCAATCAGGAGAGAGAATCATTGATTGGCTGATGCCTGCCCGCCCCACAAAGGGGATGGAGCCCCACCACGGGGGCCTGTGCGCTGACTGGGAATCCAACCAGGAAACGGTAGGATCTCTTGGTTCATAGGTCAATGCTCGACCACTGAGCCTCCCCAGCCGGGCTGAAGGAAGTGTGTGTGTGTGTGTGTGTGTGTGTGTGTGTGTGTGTGTGTGTACATTTTTAAATACATATTTTTATTGACTTCAGAGAGGAAGAGAGAGGGAGAGTTTAGAAACATCAATGAAAGAGAATCATTGATGCCAGAACCAGTTTGGCTCAGTGGTAGAGCGTCGGTCTGCGGACTGAAAGGTCCCAGGTTCGATTCCAGTCAAGGGCATGTACATTGGTTGCGGGCACATCCCGGTAGGGGGTGTGCAAGAGGCAGCTGGTCGATGTTTCTCTCTCGTCGACGTTTCTAGTTCTCTATCTCTCTCCCTTCTTCTCTGTAAAAAAAAAAATCAATAAAAAATAAAAAATAAAAAATAAATTAAAAAAAGAAAGAGAATCATTGATCAGCTGACTCCTGAATGCCCCCTGCTGGGGATCGTTCAACTCAGGCATGTGCCCTTGACAGGAATAGAACCCAGGACCCTTCAGTCTGCAGGCTGATGCTCTACCCACTGAGCCAAACCAGCTGGGCCTTGAAGAAAATCTTTTGATTGATGTTGAACTTCACCTACTAGTGCCTTGTTGGAGGGCTTTTGTGCCCTGCAAAGGAAGTACTGGCACAGTGTCACAAGCACATTTTCTGTTGTTGCCAGTTGGAATAGAAACACAAAGATTTCTTTAGAAAAGAGATCATCAGAACGATCCATTTTCTCTGTCAGGCTCCATGTATGCTCGTTTTCTTTGTAAGATTTTTTATTTAACGAGCTGTACCCGGCCACACGTTGCTGTGGCTCAGTCTGGTTACGTGGAAAAGGAAGAAAAGAGAAAGCGCAGGTTTCTGATATGTTTAATTTCTCAGTGCTTGTGGGTATACAATATTTTTTTTGTTCCATTGTCTGTGCAGATATAGAGATTGTCTGGTTTGCCGACTCTAGGACATGCAACGTATAATTGTCCATGTGAGATCTAAATGGCACAATTCTAAAGATTGGCCCTGAGCTTTGTTGATGGTGATTGCAAATGCCAATCGAATTGGGAATTGCAATCTCCTAAATTGAAATGGCATATCTGTGGGTATCATAGGAATACGAGGACATCTTCACCTTTGAAAGGTCCTGTCTGATTGTTGCTTCTACTACTTTGCTCATTAATTTTTTACTGCAAGCCTCGAGCCGTTGCAAAGCTTTGGCTGGTTGATATTTTGCAACATGATAATTGGCACGCCGATTTTCCATTGCAGTACATGTGGTGGCATCCCTGGCTGATCGAGTGATTTCAAAAATTCTGTTGGATAATTAACTGCTTCATCTACTTCTACAACAGTGTCAACGGACTTGTGTGTGACTGCCTCGCTTTGAAAGTTAGACTGAATATTGTTAAGCTCGTAGACTACTTTGTTTTTGGAAGAATAGCTCATTCACTTCAGCCAATCGTGATTCTTATAATTAGTTTGAATATTGGGAAATGCTTCTTCAACAATTCTTTTGACGTCACTAAATTGTGGAAGTTCTGAGGCAATGAAATTCGTCCTGAGGTCAGATCAGCTGGCTCCTTTCCGTTCCCAATGTCCAGCAATTGATGCGAGAATATCTCAGCTGATCGATCGTTTTGCAGCTGGACAAAAATATTTGTAGTTAATTTTAACGTCTTTACGTGTCGCCACAGAGTAGAGTATTTCAGGCAAGCACTTATTTCATCTGCTGGTGTCGATCGAGGAATTACAAGTAATGTTTGCCTGAAATCTCCTGCAAGCAATATTAATGCGTTCCCAAATGGTCTGATGTTTCCACGCAAATCTTGCAACTATCTATCGATCAAGAGTCTTGAGCGATTTTTTGTGTTCCATCCCAAACAATAAGTTTGCATTTCTGCAATGCTTTTGCCATGCCGGATGCTTTGGAAATGTTGCGCGTGGGAGTTTCAATGAATCGTATGTTCAATGGCAATTTCAAAGCGGAATGAGCAGGTCTTCCACCTGCTATCATTTTGGGATCGAATTGCTGCCAGAATCAATCTAATTAGGAACGTTTTACCAGTTCCTCCTGGTGCATCTAAGAAGAAGATTTCTCCAACCCCATTATTGACAGTTTGCATTATTTGATTATAAATGCCTTTTTGCTCAAGTGTTAGCTTAGGAATATTTGATTGCATATACAACAAAAGATTACCCGTGTTATAATTTGTTCACGACACAATTCTACATCAAATGAAGCAGCAGCAGACTGATTTGGTGATGGCATTCCCAATTGAGAACTTTGTTCACGATTTCTAAGTACAAATCTTCAATCATTATCAACATTGAAATGGAATCATAAAATATTTAGTATAGCGTGTGTTGCTTTTACGTCCAATAGATGGCGCTGTTTTTTTTAAAGCATATTTTTACCTGTCAAGGTGTGACATCTATATAATAGTAGGTTTAAGGTGTATAAAAAAACACTCCCGTATTCGAATGCAACATTGTGTCAAAATTTCAAAGCAGCTGAAACAGGTTTGGCTCAGTGGATAGGGTGTTGGCCTTCGGAAAGGTCCCAGGTTCGATTCTGATCAAGGGCACATCCCCGATGGGGGTGAGCAGGAGGCAGCTGGTCGATGTTTCTCTCATTGATGTTTCTAGCTCTCTATCCCTCTCCCTTCCTCTCTGTAAAAAATCAATGAGATATGTTTTTTAAAAATTCAAAGCAATCGGTGAAGAACTTTCGGAGATTTAAGATTTTGAACAAACAAACATTTACATTTTTATTTATATAGATTTTTAAATTTACACAATGCATACATACATTTTCACCTGATAAATATATTTCTCCATGTATTTATGTTACCTTTAATTTTATTTAACAATGTTTTTTAGTTTCGGTGTAAAGCTATTTGCATTACATATTTTATTAATTCTACCTCTGGTTTTGATACTATTGTAAGGTGTGTTTTTTTTTTGTTTGTTTGTTTTTGTTTTTTTTAAGTTTATGAAGCTTTAGCCATGGCCCATATGGCTCAGTTGATTGAGCATCACCCCTTGCACTATAGGTTCAATTTCCTGTCAGGGCACATGCCCAGATTATGGGCTGGATCCTCAGCAGGGGGCCTGCAGGAGGCAGCTGATGTTTCTCTCTCATCAGTGTTCTATCTCTCCCCCTTCTTTTCATTCTAATATCAATAAAAAAAAACTTTAAAAGTTTCATAAACTTTTTATATTCATCTTATATCCTACAACCTTACTAAAATCACTTTCTCTCGTTGTGTTTTTGTAAGATTTCCTAGGATTTTCTTAAAATTGTGTCATCCATAAATAAAGATAGCTTTATTCCCTTTCATTTTGTACTTTATATATATATATATTTTTTTTAATTGATTTTTTACAGAGAGGAAGAGAAAGGGATAGAGAGTTAGAAACATCGATGAGAGAGAGTCATCCATCAGCTGCCTCTTGCACAACCCCCACTGGGGATGTGCCCACAACCAAGGTATATGCCCTTGACCAGAATCGAACCCGGGACCCTTCAGTCTGCAGACCGACACTCTGTCCACTGAGCCAAACTGGTTTCGGCAATTGGCTAATTCTTATACTAGTATGTGCCCTGATCGGGGATTCTGGGACAGTGCTCTAACCAGCTAAGCAACTGGGCAGAGGAAGGTAACTCATTTTTCAAGGTCTAACAGGAGCTACAACAGATGAAACCTTCTATTCAGCCAACAATTGGAATAAGACAGTTTCATTACTTATACATTATTATTAGAGTAAGGAGAGTGCACTTTTAGATACACTCATCACGTAGTCTGATGTACGACAGACCACTTTTATGTTGCGTTTCTGTTCATGTATTCTAATTTGTTTGGGGGTTTGTTTGCTAGGAGGAGGCATCTCCTTACTCTTTGGTCAACATCTGCCTGAATGTCCCGGTCACCAACCTGGAGAAGCTGTGTTCGGGAAGAGCCGACGGAACCCTGTGCCTTCCTGAGCATTGGCGGTTCCCTCCGGAACTAGCTGACCGGTTCCTGGGGGTGATGACCTGGCAAGGTAAGGATCAGGTCCCTTTGTCATGCGTCACGGCACTCTGTACCAGCCGGGAAGCACTTCCACATGGGATCCCTGTTTTCCCACAACAATCTGGTAGGAAATAGGTCATTCCCGTTTTATGTGTGTGGAGGCGGGGTCTGAGTGTCTCTGGGATACCTTGGTGGAAATTGTCTTGTTGTTTTAGATTTGCCCCCTATTGGCGTAGCTGGGTGAAGAGAGTGGATATCTCAGTGAAGTTACCACTTAGCTATCGTAGCTGCTCTGTAGCTGCTGAAATGCAGTTGCTATAGTCTTGTCTCAACCCACCTATTTTATAGATGAGGAAAATGAGACCCCAAGATGTAAATGACTTGTAAAAGACTATCCACTAATTTGGTTAAAAATAATTATTCATAATGTTATTTTCATAGCATAAAAAATTTTTTATACTTGCTATTTTATTTTGTTCTTTTTTTCTTCCTGTGAACAAGGTTGTTACAGATAAAACTGGACTCTGGAGTCCAACTGGCTTTGATTCTTGATTCTTCTACCTATTTGGGCCTTGAATGAGTTATTTAAATTCTTTAAGCTTCAGTTTGCTCAGCTATAAGATGGTAATACTAATAGTTTTTATAGTATTGTTGCAAAGAGTAAATGATACAGTCTGAGGAAAGGGTTTAGAACAATGTTTGTCCCAGAGTACATGGTCATTTTTGTTGTGATTGGCATCTGTCATCGTTCATTGGCCATGATGCCTCCAGGAAAAGGCCTGAGATGTAGTTATGATTACAAAATGGTTCTGGTTCTTTTGCAGGCAAGTTGACTGATAGAACAGCGAGCATTTTTCGAGGCAACCAAATGAAACTGAGGCGGGTCGATATTAAAATAGCTAAAATCTCTACAGCTGCATTCGTGAAAGCTTTCTGCCATCACAGACTCATCGAGCTGGATGCTTCTGCCGTGGACCCTGCCCTGCCGATATCAGACATCCTACACGGGCTCTGCAGCAGCAGCTGGCTCCAGCGAAACTTCCGGCGTCTGCTATTGGACTCAGCCAGCGTCCATCCCGATTCAAGACTGCTGTCATTGGGCCAGCTCACGGGCCTTCGAGCTTTAAGTGTTTGCAATGTCCATTTTCATAGAGAAGACCTGGCTAATGTTTCTCAGTTGCCCAAACTGGGAAGCTTGGATATCTCCAATACTCTGGTCACTGACCTCTCTGCACTCCTCATCTGCAAGGATCGACTCAAATCTCTCACAATGCACTATCTGAAATGTCTAACCATGACCACGCCCCAGATTCTCGCAGTCATTAAAAGAACTTACATGCCTGTTTCACCTTGATATTTCGAATCACAGGCAACCCCCGTCAGATCTAGCTTTTCATTTGCTGCAGCAGCAGGACATTCTACCTAACCTTGTGTCGCTGGACATTTCGGGGGGCAGCGCCATCACCGATGGAGCCGTGGAGCTGTTCGTCCGGCAGCGGCCTGCGATGCGGTTTGTGGGGCTGTTGGCTACAGATGCTGGTTATTCCCACTTCTTTACTACACAGCACGGCTTGAGGGTTTGTTCTGACCTGAAATTAGTTTGTTTCATTTGTTGTATATGTGAATGTAGGTGTTAGAGTTATAGAGACAGATAAAAAAAAATTCGTAAGGAGCTTATCAATTAATTATTGTATACCTACTATGTGGTAGGCTGTAGAAATGTAATTTTTCTTTTAAATATACTTTATTGATTTTTATACAGAGAGGAAGGGAGAGTGATAGAGAGTTAGAAACATCGATGAGAGAGAAACATCGACCAGCCGCTTCCTGCACACCCCCCACTGGGGATATGCCCGCAACCAAGGCACATGCCCTTGACCGGAATCGAACCCGGGACCCTTCAGTCCCCAAGCCAACGCTCTATCCATTGAGCCAAACCGGTCCCAGCTAGAAATGTAATTTTTAAAAAATATATATTTTATTGATTTTTTTACAGAGAGGAAGGAAGAGGGATAGAGAGTTAGAAACATCGATGAGAGAGAAACATCGACCAGTTGCCTCCTGCACACCCTCTACTGGGGATGTGCCCGCAACCAAGGTACATGCCCTTGACCAGAATCGAACCTGGGACCTTTCAGTCTGCAGGCCAACGCTCTATCCACTGAGCCAAATCAATTTCAGCAGAAATGTAATTTTTAAAAATTAATATATTTTATCGACTTTTTACAGAGAGGAAGGGAGAGGGATAGAGAGTTAGAAACATCGATGAGAGAGAAACATCGACCAGTTGCCTCCTGCACACCCCCTACTGGGGATGTGCCCACAACCAAGGTACATGCCCTTGACTGGAATCACACCTGGAACCTTTCAGTCCGCAGTGCGACGCTCTATCCACTGGGCCAAACCGGTTTTGGCAGAAATGTAATCTTAATATATTGTCCTGGCCTCCATGTATGGTAGTCCAGCTTCCTGGTGATGAGTGCAGTCATTTATGCGGTTCATCCTGTTTGCCAGATGGCACGTTGTATTCTACTTACCGGTAACTAGTGACCCAGTGCATGAAATTCATGCGCATTAAAAGCGGATTAGAGAAAATAATTTAATATTGCTGTTTGCCCTTTCTCTATAATAGAAGTGTCAGAGATGAAAGAAAATTAGTAAAACGTATATGCAAACCTTCCTCCTTTCAGAGTCTGGGGCTCACCATGGGACCCAGAGTCAAGTCCCTGCCCACCCACATGTGCCTCAAAATTGCATGAGACCCTGACCCTGCCAGCACCCCCCATAGATCCAGACCCTTGTCAAGCCCTGCCGGTCAGGGGGCATAACCTCAGGACCCCTGGCCTGGCCCCAGCACAGGGGGCGTGCTTGAGATTCTCTGTCAAGGCCTGCCAGGCAGGGGGAGAAGCCTGAGGCCCCTGTCAAGCCCCTCTGGGCAGGGGGCGGGGGAGGGTGTAGCCTCAGGGCCCTGCTGATTGCTCGTTAAGGCTCCTTAAGGGAACTTGGGTGCAGCCATCTTTGTGACTGAGTGATGGTCCGTTAGCATATTCCCTCTTTATTAGATAGGATTCTCCCATTTTACATGAATGGAAGCATAGGGAGGTTAAGCTACTTAGCCACAATCATGGAATTGCCTATTAAACAGTATAGCTAGAGCTCATGGACAGGGCGTCAGCCTGAGGACTCAAGGGTCCCAGGTTTGATTCCAGCCAAGGGCGTTGGTCTGGCTTGTTTGGTGTGTCTTTCTCACCCTGATGTTTCTGCTCCATCTAGACTTGTGTGCAAGTCTCTGTGATTCCAAAATTTGTGTTCTCCACTCTGTTATAGCTAAATATAATTAACAGCTGATCGACATGATGAACACGATTTTTGGTTCAGCTCTGGCAAGGCAATTTTAAGAGTCTCAATTTTTGAATGTTGCTGGAATAAGTTTCCAGACTCTCATGGTGCTATTTAGAAAATATTTTTTTATTGATTTAAGAGAGGGAAAAACATTGATTTGTTCCACTTATTCATGCAATCATTGTTGAATTCCTTTTTATAAAGGTAATTTTTAAAAATCCTCACCCGAGGACTTGCTTTAGTTTTAGTTATATTGATTTGAGAGAGAGAGAGAGAGAAACATCAGTTGCCTCCCGTAAGCACCCACACCAGGACCCAACCCGAAACCTGAGACCTTGGCATACCTGGACGATTTTCTAACCATCTGAGCTTCTTGGTCAGGGCCTCAGGATACTATTTTTATTTATTTTGTTTTATTTTATTTTATTGATTTATAGAGGAAGGAGAAAGGAAAGAGAGCTAGAAACATCGATGAGAGAGAAGCACTGGATCAGCTGCCTCCTGCACTCCCCCCACTGGGGACTGAGCCCACATCCAGACATGTGCCCTTGGCCAGAATGGAAATCTTGGACCTTCAGTTAGCAGGCCAACACTATCCACTGAGCCAAACCAGCTAGGGCTAAAAGGTGTTTCAGAAAACCTTTTACTTTAATAGAAATGCATATCTTTTAAATTATATGCAAACTATACTAAGTGTTCTTGTTGTTTGGGTTGAGAAAAAATTTGCTTACATTAAAATGGATAAAATTTTTTTTTAATATATCTTATTGATTTTTTACAGAGAGGAAGGGAGAGGGATAGAGAGCTAGAAACATCAATGAGAGAGAAACATCGATCAGCTGCCTCCTGCACACCCCTCACTGGGGATGTGCCCGCAACCAATGTACATGCCCTTGACCAGAATCGAACCTGGGACCCCTCAGTCTGCAGACTGACACTCTATCCACTGAGCCAAACTGGTTTCGGCAAAATGGATAAAAAATTAAATGTTAGTGAAAACCGCCGAAACCGGTTTGGCTCAGTGGTAGAGCGTCGGTCTGCGGACTGAAAGGTCCCAGGTTCGATTCCGGTCCAGGGCATGTACATTGGTATAGGACTTTCTTTCAAGGCCGCGGGGAAAGAGTTCCAATTCAGGGTTCAGCTTCTGGAGAAGGGCCTCACACAAATGAAGAGACTTGAAAAAATTCAATTTGGCGATATGGGGGGCCAGGCGGTAGTCCAACTCTAGTGGGAGAACTACTCTTGCTCTGGCCCTGCCATCCCCTTTTATTGAGGCTTTGGGGAAAACATCTTAAGCAACATAAACAGAAATTTACATGTAGCCCTTAGGCAGGAAATAACAAACTTTCACGGACAAGGTAGATTCTGCTTCAGCTAACAATATCTCAACTAAAAGTTAGAGCAATTAAGGTTGTTGACCAGCCTTCCTGGCTTCCTGTCAACATCTTTTTTTCAGTGAAACTGATTTGGTTTCCAGCACATTGGTTGCGGGCACATCCCCGGTAGGGGGTGTGCAGGAGGCAGCTGGTCGATGTTTCTCTCTCATCGACGTTTCTAGCTCTCTATCTCTCTCTCTCTTCCTCTCTGTAAAAAGTCAATAAAATATATTAAAAAAAAAAAGTTAGTGAAAACCGTCAAACAGAACAAGTATGTTAATTCTTGTACTCAAAATTAGAATGTTCTTAATTCCTTTAAAATGGATAAGAGACAAATTTCCAGTTGTAAAGTAAATAAGTCACAGTATGTAATATACAGCATAGAGAATCCTACATAATAATCCTATATAAAAAAAGGTAATATGCAAATCAACCGAACGGTGGAACAACCAGTCACTACGGTGCACACTGTCCACCAGGGGGCAGGTGTTCAATGCAGGAGCTGCTCCCTGGTGGTCAGTGCTCCCACAGGGAGGCTGACCAGGCTGATGGCTGGCGAGCGGGAGTGGGCTGGGCATCAGCCACAGTTGGATACCCCCTGAGGGCTTCTAGACTGCTAACGGCCCGGTGGGGCTGAGGGACCCCACGCCCACGCCCTCCAAGGCACCGGGCTTCTAGTATAGTCAATACCTGTCAAGTGGTTTATCATGATCACTTTCATTAGGTATATAAATATTGAATAACTGTTATACACCTGGAACTTAATGTAACATTGTCTGATAATTATATATATATATATATATATATATATATATATATATATATATATATATATATATAATTTTTTTTTTTTAAATGGGCAGAAGCCCAGCAGGTGTGGCTTGGTGGTTGAGCATTGGCCTGTGAAACAGGAAGTTATGGTTTGATTCCATGCCCAGATTGTGGACTGGATCCCCAATAGGAGGCATGCAGGAAGCAGCCAATTGATGTTTCTCTCTCATCTTTGTTTCTATCTCTCTAGCCCTCTCCCTTCCTCTTTCTAAAATAAAAAAATACATGTTTTTAAAATAGGGGTCAGAAAGGGCACCGTCATTACTATTAAAAGCCATGTAACATTTTCATTTCCTAGTAAATTCTCATTGGCCCAATATAGTGTGTGGCACAAATCCATTAGGATTGTTTGGTAATGACATTTTTAAGGAGAGCGAATGATTCGACAGCTGTCTTCTGTTTGGTCTTGCTGTGGCGTATCTTTTGTTACAACTCACATCTGGATGATCACAAAACCCTTTTTAAAACTTTAGAATATATCCTTTGTTTAGATTCTTGATAATGTGTAGGTCCTGGACAATGGATGTATGTATAATTTTTAACTTGCAGATTACTATAATAGTTTGAACATTCTGCCACCTTTGTCTTATGTAGGTTACACATCATGCCCCTCTACCCCTTAATACTTAAGTTTGTATTTCATTTCTTAAGAGCAAGAATAGCCAGTTTGGCTCAGTGGATAGAGCGTCAGCCTGCAGACTGAAGGGTCTCAGGTTTGATTCCGGTTTGAAACCTTGGTTGCGAGCACATCCCCAGTGAGGGGTGTGCAGGAGGCAGCTGATGGATGTTTCTCTCTCATCCATGTTTCTAACGCTCTATCTCTCTCCCTTCCTCTCTGTAAAAAAAACAATAAAATGTATTTTTTTTTTTTTAAAGAGCAAGGGTATTCTTTTTTTTTTTTTTTAATATATTTTATTGATTTTTGTACAGAGAGGAAGGGAGAGAGATAGAGAGTTAGAAACATCAATGAGAGAGAGATCAGCTGCCTCTTGCACACCCCCTACCGGGGATGTGCCGGCAACCAAGGTACATGCCCTTGACTGGAATCGAACTTGGGGCCCTTCAGTCCCCAAGCCGACGCTCTATCCACTGAGCCAAACCGGTCCCGGCAGCAAGGGTATTCTTAATGATTACAATGTAGTTATCAAATTTTAAGGAATTTAACATAGATGCAATGCTTTATATATTACTAGAGTTCTGATGCATGAAATTCATGCAAGAGGAAGACTTTGTAGCCCCCGGCAGCCTCAGCCCTCAGCCCTGGCTTTGTCTGGAAGGTCATCTGTTTGGTCAATTTGCATATTATGCTTTTATTATTATAGATAATCAACTATATATATTTCCAGTGTTGATTATCCCAATAATGCCCTCTATAAAATACTTATCCATTTAGCATGGGATCATTTTTCCATTCAATTGTCATCCTATATAATAAAAGGTTAATATGCAAATTGACCAAACAGTGGAAAGATCAGTCATTATGATGCACACGGCCGATCAGAGGGCAGACACTCAATGCAGGAGCTGCCCCCTGGTGGTCAGTGCACCAGAAGCCGGACTCACGGCTGAGCGAGTGCAGAGATGGTGGTGGGAGCCTTTCCTGTCTCTGTGGTAGCGCTAAGGATGTCCGTGGGGAGCAGGCTAAGCTGTCAGTCCGATATCCCCCAAGGGCTCCTGTATTACAAGAGGGTGCGGGCCGGACTGAGGGATTCCCCCTCCCCCCGCAAGTGCACTAATTTTGTGCACCAGGTCTCTAGCATCTCTATAATCTGGAAGAGTTTTTGTTTGTTTGTTTGTTTTTAATATATTTGTATTGATTTCAGAGAAGAAGGAAGAGGGAGGGAGGGAGGGAGGGAGAGAGAGAGAGAGAGAGAGAGAGAGAAACATCCATGATGAGAGAGAATCATGGATTAGCTGCCTCTTGCAAGTCCCCCACTGGGGATCAAGCCCACAGCCCAGGCATGTGCCCTTGACCGGAATCGAACCTGGGACCTTTCTTGTTTTTTTCTCTTATTTAAAAAATTGATTTTTTACAGAGAGGAGGAGAGAGGGATAGAGAGCTAGAAACGTCGATGAGAGAGAGAAACATCAACTAGCTGCCTCCTGCACACCCCCTACCGGGGATATGCCCGCAACCAATGTACATGCTCCTGACCGGAATCGAACCCGGGACCTTTCAGTCCGCAGACTGACGCTCTACCACTGAGCCAAACCGCTTTCGGCGAACCTGGGACCTTTCAGTTTGCAGGCCAATGCTTTGTCCACTGAGCCAAACCGTTTAGGGCTGGAAGAGTTTTTTAGTCCTTCCTGTCCTTTGTGACATTGATGTTTTTGAAGAATACAGACAAGCTTTGTTTTGTTAGCATTTTTCTTCTCCTTTTAGATATATATTTTTATTGATTGGTTAAGTTTAGAGAGAAAGAGTGAAACACTGATTGGCTCCACTTTTGTATGCATTCACTGGGTTGTTTCTTTTATGTGCCCTGACTGGGGATCGAACCTACAGCTGTGGCACATCAGGATGACACTGTAACCAACTGAGCTACCTGGCTGGGCCAGTTGGCATTTTTGAAGAATGTCCCTCATTTTGGCTTTAATGTTTCAAACACATGAGGCCCCTGAAAGCCTGTACTTGGACAGTGAAACCTGTGGGTAACATCTTTGCTTTCCAGGTTGCTGGAGGAGCCAATGTGATGCAGATTTCAGAAGCGATGAGCCAGTACAGGAACAGGTCATGTTTTATGAAGGAAGCCCTCTTCAGACTTTTTAGAGAGACCTTTTCAACGAAGGTAACCATGCCTGCTCTTTTAAAAGTAAGTATATCTCAAAAAGGTAGTGTGTGTTTGTTTGTTTGTTTGAAAAATAGAGCCATTATTTGACTATACCTATCTATCTATCTATCTATCTATCTATTTATTGTTTGTTTGAAAAATAGAGTCATTATTTGACTATCTATCTATCCATCCATCCATCCACCCATCCATCCACCCACCCATCCATCCACCCATCCATCCATCCTTCCATCTACCTACCTACCTACCTACCTATCTACCTATCTACTTATCTACCTATCTACCTATCTACATTTTTAGAGAGGAAAGGGGGGAGAAAGAGAAGCATCAATCTGTTGTCTCGTGTACACACCTCAACCGGGGTTTGAATCTCACCACCTTTTGGTATACGGATGACACTCCAACCAATTGAACCACACTGGCAGGGCATGTGGTTTTTATTATTACTTCTTACTTGATTTAGTTGTTCAGCCCTAACTGGTTTGGCTCAATGGCTAGAGTGACCTGCAAACTCAAGGGTCCCAGGTTCAATTTCAGTCAAGGGCATATACCTTGGTTGCAGGCACATAACCAGTAGGGAATGTGAAGAAGGCAGCTGATCAATGCTTCTCTCTCATCGATGTTTCTAACTCTATCCCTCTCCCTTCTTCTCTGTAAAAAAAAATCAATAAAATGTATTAAAAAAAAAAGTTGTTCACTACACACATTGAATACAGTAACTCATAAGCCTCATTCTATAGTGAATCAAAATGCTCTCATAGAGAAAGGAAAATAGTATTAGGTTTAACTACAAGATTATCTCTCATTTTGAGTATCTGAATCATTTGAATCATCCAGTTTTTTGAAGTTAGTCTGAGAAAGGCATATAGGACTATTGCACTATTTTGCCTAAAACAGGACTTACTTATCTATAAATATGAATTCACTTTTCCCTAAATGTTTTATTTTTCATTCATTTACTTTTTAAAATCTAACATCTGATTTTCTTAAAACAAAAACAATATCTCCAGTAAGAACAGGACAAAGTAACAATAATTGAAGGCAACCAAACCTTCCATTTAAAGTATTTTTTGAATGAAGTAAAATTACCAATATTGTAAGGGCCAGACCTTGCTTTGGTTTATGGAAGGGTAAATTTATTTTAAATGCAACTGGAAGTATTAAGTGGTTTGGGAAAGAAAACTGCAATTATTTAAAATTAAGTGAAATATGCCGAAACTGGTTTGGCTCAGTGGATAGAGCGTCGGCCTGCGGACTAAAAGGTCCCAGGTTCGATTCTGGTCAAGGGCATGTACGTTGGTTGCGGGCACATCCCTGGTGGGGGGTGTGCAAGCGGCAGCTGGTCGATGATTCTCTCTCATCCACGTCTCTAGCTCTCTCCCTTCCTCTCTGTAAAGAAACAATTAATCAATCAATCAATCAATAAATAAATAAATAGATAGATAAAATTAAGTGAAATATGAAAACAAAGAGTCTTAAAGCCACTTTGTCTTTATTTGCAATACTTTGCAGTTCCTTAAAAATATGCCTATTTTGTACTGTGGGAGATTAGATTTAAGTCATATCTTAAAAGCAATACTATTTAAAGCACATGTGTCAAACACAAGGCCCGCGGGCCAAATCCGTCCCGCCAGGCCTTGCAATGTGGCCCGCACCGCGCTGTCATCACTGCACTCCGCTGCGTTTCCATCACAATGACAGTTTATGACTGTTCAGTAAACCATTCGGCCCGCGATTTAGGCTGGATTTTAGATTTTGGCCCCTTCTCTGATTGAGTTCGACACCCCTAATAAAGGAAAAACTCTGGACCATTATTTCCCCTCTGTAATGAGATTGAATTAGATGTTCTGAAAGTCCTTTTCTGTCTTAAGAATCTAATTTTTATAAACCCTCTTTCTTTTCGTTTCTACATATTTAAATTGCAGATGATGACAACCCAATGAAATCCTAAAAGCAATTTAGCAATATAGAAACAGCCATTTTCCATAGTAAAAGCAAGTGTATCCCAGGTCTGTCCCTAGGCTCCATGAGTTCATGCAGCTGTCGCAGTGAGGGGCTCTGGTCTCTTAAAATCATGTTTTATGTGAGTATTAGCAGATGTATCACTGAGATGATTCTCCCTATTTAAAAAAAAAAAAAAAAAAGACTTGGAGAGGAAAGGAGAGAAAGAAAAAAGAACAAGAGAAACATCAATGTGAGCGAAACATGGATCGCTGGCCTCCCACACACGCCCTGACCGGGGATTGAACCAGCAAACTGGGTGTACGCCCAACCAGGACTGTACCGTCCTTTGGTGCGCTGGATACCGGCCAGGCCAGGGCTGACTATCCACATTCGATAGACAAAACAAATCATATTGTCCCTGAATATTAGAGTAGGTGTGTTCTAAGTGTGGTAGCGCACTTTCATTTTACACTTGTTTTCCTAGGTCTTCCATAGTCTGTCTTCTAGTTGGCATGCTAAATGTTAGGTTTTACCACTTTTCAAACTTCTTCCTCCTCTGGGTGGATTCCATCTCTTAGTCCGCCTTGTGTTTTTCCCTGTCACATTTCCCTTCCCCAGGAATTTCTCCTCTATTCCACCCCTACCTTCATCTGCTTCTGTCCGTATCCTATCTGAGACTTTTGCCTGAAGATGCTTTTGGAATTAAGCCCTTTGATTCCATACCAGAAATATATATATATTTTACATTTTTTTAATTAAATTATTATCTGTGTACATATTTTAACATTGCCCCCCCTCCCATACATACCTTCCCTCCCCAGAGTTTTGTGTCCATTGGTTGTACTTATATGCATGTATACAAGTCCTTCGACATACCAGAAATATTATTTATACCTTTTTTATATTGATTTTCTTTGCGGGGGGTAGAGGGGGTAATGTTTTGACATCTTTCACAGTGTTGTTTACATAGCTTAACTTCTCTCACAAGGCTTTATGCTAAGGATTAGGGTATAAGTGATCCATGTCTATGTCTCCTGTAGTGTATCGCAGTGCCTACAATGGAGTGAGGCTAAATGATTATGAAATCACAGATGAGGAAATGGTGGTCCAGAGAAGGGAAATGACTTGCCTAAAGCCACACAGCCAGTTAAAAGCTGCATTTGGACTACATAGTATTGTTAATATTCTAAAAATAAATGTCTAGGGTAGAAAAAATCTGTTACCTTCCCAATGAGCAAATATTTTTCTAACTAACATAAAAACAAGAGAGTATACCAAATGCTGATGCTGCCATAAGCCTCTAAAAATAAGTTCATCTTTAGCTTGTGGCCGTAGGAATGAGGAACCATCCCTTGGATTTCCCAGTGCAGTTCACGGCCAGTGCTTGCGCCCTCAACTTAACACGCCAGGGCGTGGCCAGGGGAATGCCTGTTCATCTGTTGTCAGAGGTCACCTGTCTACTTTTCAAGGCCTTGAAAAACTTCCCTCATTACTAGCAGGTAATTTAAATTGAATACTTGACTCTGCTTCTTGCTTCAGGACAAATATATGAAAAATATGTATTTTTTAGTTCGAGTTTTCATTCAATATGGGGGAGGGGGAATGAGAGAATAGATAAGGAATTCATGTTTGTTATAGGAAAAATATAGGAAATATAGATAAGCAATCTGGTTTAAATTTTAAAAATTTCTTGGAAGCCTGTTACTCAGAAACATCTGTTAATTACTTTTGGTACATCCTTGCAGGCTTAACATTATTTGTGAAAATTGAATTGAATCAGAGATCTAAATATAAGCATTAAAACCATAAAATTTCTAGAAGAAAACATAGAAGAAAATATTTGTGCCTTTGGAGTGGTCAGAGTTTTCTTAGGATATGAAAAGCACACATCATAAAAGTAAAATAAATTAGAATCCAAAAAAGTTAAACATACAAACACTGAAATACATTAAAAAATGAAAAAGCAGCCCTTGACTGGAATTGAACCTGGGACCCTTCAGTCCATAGGCCAATATTCTATCCACTGAGCCAAACCGGTTTCGGTGGAAATTGGTTTTTAAAAATACAAAAAAGGTGGTCTTCCTTGATTTAAAAAATTTCCCATTTCTCCTTTCTCTTAAAAAATTGGAAGATCCTTCTCAATTCAGGCTTAATTTCTGCATGGCAGTTGTCATTTGGAGCTGAGTAACAACTGCCCTTAGAAGAGGGCATGAATCGCCCAGTTTACCATAATTCCCACTACTCCCTTGTTGTTTGACACTCAGCCTCCTTCACTTATTTATGTTACTGCCTAGTTCCTGTTGGTATTTCAGGTTTCTGACCCTACCTCATATGCCAGGGTTCTGGTCCCAGCATTAAGAAGGGTTTAGCAATCTGGAGAAAGGCTGTGTGAAGATTAAATGAAAGTCCAGAGATGAAAGATAATTTTGAAAGGCATTGGGGGGTCAGAGGAGCTTCAGCTAATGGAGCTAAAGGTTCTTGACTCAGGACCCTTGCTTTTTATTAACACAATTTTTCCTAAGGCAAGGTGGAGATAATACACTTCAAAGGGTAGGGTATAGAAGCATTGTCAAATTGGGGAATAGCCTATAGCTGTTCAGGTGTTTGGCCAACAGGAGGCAATAACATGTAGATTAAGATGCCCTGAGCTGTGGGGCAGCAAACAATCATCCTATTCAAGTTTGGGGGAAGTGCCCTCCAGCCACTCTCAACAGATAATTACATATGTGACTCAGCCCTTGTTGAGTCCCCAAGTTTTATCAAAAGGTAATTATGACATGGTGGAATTGGCTTCCGGTACTCATCCACTATTATTTTTGTCATACTGGCCTCCTCATGGCTTTTCAAAGAGATGTTTTATTTCTCTCTTTCTATAGCTTTCCCAGGAGGCCTTCTTTCTTTCCTATCTGTAAAGGCCCTGTTCAACCCCTCCCATCTTATGTAGAAAGTAGAAGTTTTAGCATAGTTAGTTATGAGATATGGTGTAGGCATTTGTCAATTAGTAGATGCACTAAGCTTCAGGTAATTGATTGGGACTGATCTACATACAACTACCCTCTTTACCCCCGCCAAAAAAGGGGAGGTGAGGAGGATTGCTCTTTAGGCAAAGGTGCACAGGACAGAGTGTATTGGTAAGATTAAATGGAGAGGGCCAGGTACACAGAAAGGCTCATTGGTAGTACCTTCCAAATGCATAGAATCTTTTTATTTTATTTATTTATTTTATTGATTTTTTTACAGAGCGGAAGAGAGAGGGAATAAAGAGAAACATCGATGAGAGAGAATCATCAATCAGCTGCCTCTTGCACACCTCCTACCAGGGATGTGCCCGCAACCAAGGTACATGCCCTTGACCGGAATTGAACCTTGGACCTTTCAGTCCACAGGCTAACACTCTATCCACTGAACCAAACCAGTTCCGGCCACAAATCTAATTGAAAATGTGTACTTGAAATGGGAATTGACTTTTGAAAATACAATAGGGAAAGTGGTCCTCCTCATTAAAAAAAAAAAAAAAAAAAAAAAAAAAAAATCTGTTTCTATAATATCTTCTCTTGAAAACATTCCTAAATGATCAGAGCTGAAGAACAACTGCCCTATAAAAGGGTGTGAATTCTCTCTAGCTAATTGATTTGTTTGCGGTGTCTACAGTTCAGGTTATAAATTACTACCTCTCTTAAGACTTCTTTTCTTTTTCAGACTCATCATAGTAGAAACTGAATGCTAAAAATCTTTCTCTTTTTTTAATATATATATTTTTTATTTCAGAGAGGAAGAGAGAGATAGAAACATAAATGATGAGAGAGAATCATTAATTGGCTGCCTCCTGCATGCCCCCTACAGGGGATCAAGCTCACGACCTGGGCATGTGCCCTTGACTGGAATCAAACCTGGGACCCTTTAGTCCACAAGCTGATGCTCTATCCACAGAGCCAAACTGGCTAGGATACAATAAATCTTTCTTAAATCTGCCCATCTTTCTTTGAATCCTGTGCATTTTGCTCACATTCTTATTTGCATGCTGTCTTCTGATTTCTTTTTGCCAAATGCTCTTGGTTTTCATAGCTGAGGCTGTAGAAGTTGAGACTGTTTTTCATTACAGGACTAGGGGCCTGGTGCATGAAAATTTATGCACTTGGCGTGACGGGGGGAGTCCCTTAGCCTGGCCTGCGCTCTCTTACAGCCTGGGACCCTCGGGGGGATGTCCGCCTGCCAGCTTAGGCCCACTCTCGCAGCTGCGGTCAGACATCCCTCGTGCTGTGGAGCAGGCGGGAGAGGCCCCTGCCACCACCACTGTGCTGGCAGCTGGCAGCTCGCAGCTCGGCTTGTGGCTGAGCAGGGCTCCTCCTGTAGAACGCACTGACCACCAGGGGGAAACTCCTGCATTGAGCATCTGCCCCCTGGTGGTCAGTGCGCTTCATAGTGACTGGTTATTTTGCTATAAGGGTCAATTTGCATATTACTCTTTTATTATATAGGACTAGAGGCCCAATGCACGAAATTTGTGCAAGAGTAGGCCTCCCTTTCCCCAGCTACCGGCACCACCTTCTCTTCCCTCCGGCACCCAGGACCCGGGCTTCCCTCGCAGCCCCAGCTTCATACGGAAGGATGTCCTAATTAGCATATTACCCTTTTATTATTATAGACTAGTGACTCGGTGCATGAAATTCGTGGGCAGGAGCGGGTGTGTGTCTGTGTCCCTCAGCCCAGCCTGCACCCTCTCCAATCTGGGACCCCTCATCACCCCTTCAGGGGATGTCTGAATGCTGGCTTAGGCCCAATCCCAGGATCCGAGCTAAACAGGCACTCGGATATCTCTCTTGCAATCCGGGACTGCTGGCTCCTAACCGCTCACCTGCCTGCCTGCCTGCTTGCCCCCAGCTGTGCCTCCCCCACACTTGCTAGCCTGCCCATCCTGCCAGGGCTCTGAGATCAATGGCAGAGCAGAGGCAGGTGTTTCCCACCGGCCCAGGCGATCATTAATCCCCGCCCACAGGGAGGCCCTGCCCATCTGCCCACCCTGCCAGGATTCTATGATCAATGCTGCCCAGAGGGAGGCCCTCCCAGCCACGGCTTTGTCTGGAAGGAGATCTGGAATGTTTCCCGGTCTAATTAGCATATTACTCCCCCCCTTTTAAATGATTTCCATATTTTGTGTTTCTTTCTTTTTCTTTTTATTAAATATATTTTATTGATTTTTCACAAAGAAGAGAGAGGCATAGAGAGTTAGAAACATCAATGAGAGAGAAACATTGACCAGCTGCCTCTTGCACACTCCCTACTGGGGATGTGCCCACAACCAAGGTACATGTCCTTGACCGGAATCGAACCTGGGACCTTTCAGTCCACAGGCTGACGCTCTATCCACTGAGCAAAACCTGTTTCGGCTGTGTTTCTTCCTTCATTCCACAATATTTATTTTTATTTTTTTAAGTATATTTTTTATTGATTTTTTTACAGAGAGGAAGAGAGAGGGATAGAGAGTATGAAACATCGATGAAAGAGAATCATCGATCAGCTGCCTCTTGCACACCACCTACCGGGGATGTGCCCGAATCCCAGGTACATGCCCTTGACCGGAATCGAACCTGGGACCTTTCAGTCCCCAGGCCAACGCTCTATCCACTGAGCCAAACCAGTCAGGCTAGCATCTTACCCTTTTATTAGTAGAGATGATAGGGGTAGGTTAAGTGATTTCTTTCCTCATATACAGTCTTATAAGCTTTATTGTGAGAAAATTGCTGCTTTTCAGGCTTGATGCTGCCAAATTGGTTATGAGATGGCTCTGTAAGCATGAACACCCCAAGAGGCAAACAGTGGCCATGAGCATCACCTGCGTGCTAGCCTTGCAGGTATGCGATTGCTAAAGGCGGGATCCGTTCCCCTTAGTCCTGCTGGAGCTTTGATGGGGAGCAGACACTTCACTGTCAGCTTTCTGTTTGCTTACAGCTCTCACGTGAGCAAACTGCACAGCTTCAAGAAGAGCTCCTCAGGGCAGTGAAGGTAGGTTGTTTGTCACTTTTCCAGCTTTGTATAGTAAAACCACATAATTGCCTAAGGCCTGAAAAAGGAGAAATCTGTAAGACCTGCTCCTCAGAAGAAATTACTCTACTATTATAGCTATTTCTTGTGGATTTTACCTTCACATCTCTGGATAAAATCCTTATTTAGTAAAAGCAATTTAGTAAATGCTTATTTAGTAACAATTTTTTTTTTTTTTTTGTAAATTCTTGACTTACCAGTTTTAGATATTATGTAGTGATTCTACTGCTATGGTAAATAACTTAGCTTTCTTTTTTAAAAAAAAATATATATTTTATTGATTTTTTACAGAGAGGAAGGGAGAGAGATAGAGAGCTAGAAACATCGACGAGAGAGAAACATCAACCAGCTGCCTCTCGCACACCCCTTACTGGGGATGTGCCCTCAACCAATGTACATGCCCTTGACTGGAATTGAACCTGGGACCTTTTGGTCCACAGACCTACGCTCTACCGCTGAGCCAAACAGGTTTCGGCAGAACTTAGCTTTCTTGCATATATTTCTACAAATTACCTCCTCCCTCAACCCTACAAACCTATATCACAATTTTAATAAATCAGTAATTAAGAGTTTACATTATTATGCTACCATTATTCACACAAAAATATACATTGTTTTATTTTGCACTTATTTTAAGATGAGTTTTGAGCCTTTTTTTTTTTTTTTTTTTTTTTAATTTAAGAATTTTATATCCTGCCGAGACCGGTTTGTCTCAAAGCTCACATGGTGCCCTTCACATATCTATCTTACCTGTGCAGGGTGGAGTTGATTTTGATCTCCCTTATGGCTCTCAGTTGTCTTGGCTGAAGATGTTTTATTACTCCCAGCAGCTCAGGTCAGGGCTGCTTTTTAAAATTTATTTTGTGTTTGTCCTTTATGTTTATTAATTGTAAAGAGAAAAGGATTCAAGTCATAGTTGTTCTTAGTATGAATTAGTCTTCTAATTCCTTAGGCTTTTTTTTTTTTTTTTTTTTTAATTTATTATCTAAAGTTTTACATATGTCTCCTTTTCAGGTCAAGGCTGCTTTTGATCTGCCATAAGGTTGCGTTAATTGCTCAGGCCAAAGCTACTCTCTCCTTCCTGACCCCCCCCCCCCCCCCCCCCCCCCCGCCTTCCTGTCTAGCTACCTAACCCTTCTCAGTATGGAGGCTCCTCTCTCCCACGTTTTCAAAGTAAATTCTTTTTATTATTATTATTATTATTATTATTATTATTATTATTAATATTATTTATTGATTTCAGAGAGGAAGGGGGAGGGAGAGAGACAGAATCAATGATGAGAGAGAATCATTGATTGGATGTCTCCTGCATATCCCCTACTGGGGATTGAGCCCTCAACTTGGGCATGTGCCCTTGACCAGAACTGAACCTGAGACACTTCGGTCTGCAGGCTCTATCCAGTGAGCCAAACCGGCTAGGGCTCTAAATAAATTCTTCATTTATTTCCTTCAGGGCATTTACCAAAATTTAAATTTACATAGTTGAGAAAAACCGTTGTTTGATTTGTCTCTCTCATCTGAATAAATGTCTGACTTCCAGAAGGTGGTGACTGGACATTCTTAATAAATGAATCATGGAAAGCTGATATATACTTGACTATAGGTTTATTAACAAGCACCAAGAACTAGGTTAAAGTGCTCATTAAACTTCATTTTTTTTTTTCCATTTAATCCTCATAAAAACCCTAGGAGATAAGGTATAATTCATTTTATAGGGGAAAATGGCTCACAAAGCTTTTAAGTAGTAGAATTTTTATTAGAACCCAGGTTTGATTCTACAGCTTTTCTTAACTGTTGCTTTTCTTCTCATGGAATTCACTTATCCAGCAGGGAATCTAACTCCCTGTCTCTTTGCAGGAACTTCTAACAATAGTAAAACGAAAGACTACTGAGAAGTTAAATGATATCACCCTCTTGGTTGCTTTGAAAGCACTTTGGAATCTTACAGATGAATCTCCAATTGCCTGCAAGTACTTTATGGAAAATCAAGGATTGGCAATCTTCATTCAAGTTTTGGAGGTGGTAATTCAAGACTGAATTTATATATAAATTTACTTTTTTTCTTGATAAAGTAACCTATATATTCTTTTGACAGGCTTTTTCAGGATCAGCAATACAAAGCAAGGTCCTTGGACTTCTGGTAAGGTTTTGTTTTGAGTTCATTCTAATTACTTAAGAAATCAGAAAACTGACATTTATGTCATGCCTACTACCGTGTTTTCCCGAAAATAAGACATCCTCTGAAAATAAGACCTAGCACAACTTTGGGAGAAAAAATTAATATAATCACTGTCTTATTTTCGGGGAAACAGGGTATATGCTAGGCACTTTTGTAAGCATCGACACGCACTAACTTGTTTAATCTTCACATTATGCCTATAAATTAAATACCATTATATATCAGTCATCTATTGCTTTGAACAAACTACAGCTTAAAACAACAGCCATTTTATTTACTTATGTATGAATCTGTGGGTCCACAGTTTGAACTCAGTTCAGCTGTATTGTTGTGTGGTCTCTCATGGGGTTGGTTCCTCCTGTAGCTTCAGGCATCTGGTGGCGCAGGGAAGGCGAGGTGCCAACGCTGCCCCACTGGCACTTGGGCGGCAGCCTTCTGAGGCCTCAGAGTCGAGGACCCAGCCATGCCATGGTGGGCTCATGGACCACAGACACTGAGAGCAAAATGTGTGTTGTTTTAAGCCACTGAGTTTGTGGCAATATGTTACACAGCATAGAAAATGAATACATAAATACACTATGTAGAATACTGACCTGCCTTTTATTATTCCTGATGAACTTCAAGCTAATGTAACATAGAGGAGATTTCTAGGGATATTTCTAGTGTTTGAGTCAGGCCTGCATCTATATTCTAGTTCAGCCAGGTGTTGTGTTAACCTGCCAAGTTCGTCTTACTGACTGTCAGATTTCTTCATCCTGATGAGGTAGATAAAAAGACACTTTTGTTTATATACCGGAGGATAGTGCCTGGCACATAGTAAGTGCTTCCTCACTTATTATTGCCGGTCTTCCTCCTCCGGGGGTGGGATTGTGGGTATAAATTGAGAGGGAGCAGGAGGGGACTAAGTGTTATCCATGTGTTTGAGCTGAGTGCTAGGAGAGGGAGAGGAACCAGCTCCTGATGCTCCCCTCCTTTCCTGCTTCTGATGCTGCCTGCTCCGTGTGGCCCGTAGAACAACGTGGCTGAAGTCCGAGAACTGTCCTCCGCGCTGGTGACCAGAGACGTGGTGAAGCACGTCAGCGCCCTGCTCCACAGCTGCTGGCGTCATAGCCCGCCTGTGCCCTGACACACAGCCCTGGGTGTCCCGTGACCTTCCGAGGAGCATGCTTCTCCGGGACCTGGTACCAGAGCCGTTCCTCCACAGAACCCTGCGTAACCTCTTCTTGCAGAAAACCTGTGTTTCTAGAATCAAGAGTTTCAGAAACATGTATTCATTGCAGAAAGTGGGAAACACAGAAAAGTATAAAGAAAATATTACAAACCACGCATACCCTACCCTACAAAGCTAACCTCTCTTAACATTTTGTTTCGTTTTTTCCCCCTCTTATAAGAAAGTTACACATGCAAGCATTGTATATAGCTTATTCCACTTCCCTTTCCCACATTCAGCTCTTTTTAAAGCGACTTCTTTTGGTATTTACCTCCATATCTTTAAATGATACATTGCTCCTTCTTGACTTTGCAAATTTAGACATTCTTCTATCAATGCATTTGGCTCACTGTCCTTATGCACATCCTTCCTTATATTCCCAAGTACAAGTCTCCTTTTGTACATTCAAACATATTTCATCCACTTCATCTTCTCAGACATTCTTTCCCATCTGCTCTGTTTTATTTATTTATTTTTTTATGGATGCTATACTATTATCAACCAGGATATTCTTTTACTATCCTTCTAGAAATTCTTTGTCTCTCTAGTATTGGATTTCCAGTTTCCTGTATTTTGGCGTACTCCTTCATTCTGTTGGACCATATCCTCCAGGAGCTTAAGGGATGCAGGAAATAGAAAATTTGAGACCTTATTCTGAGTATGGAATTTTAGTTTTGAAATAGTTTCTCTTTGGAATTTTTAAGTCATTGGCCGTTTGTCTTTAACTTTGAAAGCTTTAAGATTTTTGTCCTCAGTGTGTGGAAATCACAGGGATGTTCCCTCGGTGTGGGTATATTTTCCTGTTATGTTTGGCTAGTGAGGGGTCCTGAAGCTGTTTCCTTCAGTTCTGGGAAATTTCCTTTCTCCCCCCCATCCCTCTCTCCTTCAGTTCTAGGTAATTTCCTCCTCCCTTCTTTCCTTCCTACCATTCCTCTCTCCCACTCTTTTCTTTTTTTTTCTCTCTTTTTTTTTTCTTACACAGAGCGGAATAGAGAGGGATAGAGACTTAGAAACATCCATCAGCTGCCTCCTGCACACTCCCTGCTGGGGATGTGCCCGCAACCAAGGTACATGCCCTTGACCAGAATCAAACCTGGGATCTTTCAGTCTGTAGGGCGACACTATCCACTGAGCCAAACTGGTTAGGGCTCTCTCCTTTTTTTTGGGTGGAGGTGGAGGTGGGAAGAGGGGAGTGGGGGGGGGGGGGAGGAGTTGGTCCTGCCAGATTCTTCTTTTCTTATCTCACTATTTGTAATTAAAAAATCTTTTTCAACTTCTATTGGATTTTGCATTTTTATTATTATATTTTAACTTTCTTTTTAAAAAAAATATATTTTATTGATTTTTTATAGAGAGGAAGAGAGAGGGATAGTTAGAAACATCAATGAGAGAGAATCATGGATCAGCTGCCTCTTGCACATCCCCCCACTGGGGATGTGCCCGCAACCAAGGCACATGCCCCTTTCCGGAATTGAACCTGGGACCTTTCAGTCCGCAGGTGGACGCTCTATCCACTGAGCCAAACCGGTTTTCGGCAGGAGCAAAGAATTTTTAGTAACCACCAGAGGCTCTCCCCGATGACAGCGACCTTGGTTTGGCGCCCCCACTCACCTGCTCCACCATCCTGCTGTGGCTGTTGCTCACCATGTTCCTTGTGTGGCCCCTGCTGGTCATAGCCACGGGTTTGTTTGTCCTGCCTTTCGGTCTATTTGCATATTAACCTTTTATTATATAGGTAGAATAGGATTATCACTGTAGCATGGTAATGCCACTCTTAAATGTTCATGAGTTTCCCAGTACAGGAGGATGAAGGAGATCTGTGAGTTTTGATTCTTTGGTACTTTTCAACCAATCCTCTTATTTTTAACTCTGCCTCTAATCTTACTTCCTAAAATTCTTAGTGTGCTAAATTTTTAAATCTCTTGAGGGATTCTGTTCAAAACAAAGTTGCTTTGTTTTTTAACCTCCCCCAGTGCAGGATCTGTTGAACCAGTTACCCTTCTCCTTCTGCTTTGTTCTTTGTGTGTTTACCTTTTATTTTAAATCATTAGTATTCTGTACACAGAATTGAGGGAGGGAGTGGATGCATAATCAGGTATCCATCTTTAAACATAAGCCCCTGCCAAAACTGGTTTGGCTCAGTGGATAGAGTGTTGGTCTGCGGACTGAAAGGTCCCAGGTTTGATTCCGGTCAAGGGCATGTACATTGGTTGTGGGCACATCCCCTGTGGGGGGTGTGCAGGAAGCAGCTGGTCGTTGTTTCTCTCTCATCGATGTTTCTAGCTCTCTATCTCTCTCCCTTCCTCTCTGTAAAAAATCAATAAAATACATTAAAAAAATAAATAAAAATAGACAAAAGCCCCTTTTTATGGCATTCTTTTCCATAGGACTCTTAATATTCTACATATATAATGTTTTACCTAATTGATATTTTGGCAAGAAAGTATATCTAAATTTGGAAAAGTTATGCCTGTAATTTGAAAGTTGTGATTGTTTTAAATATATACTAATAAAAGAGGAAGGTGCAAATTGACTATACCTCTGTGACGCCCACCAGCCAATCAGGAATGAGCATGCAAATTAACCCAACAAAGATGGTGGGTTAATTTGCATACACAGGCACAGAGTGAAGACTGAAGGCTGAAGACTTGGCTGCGCTGTGGCCGGGTCCGGGGTGCCAGAGGAAGACCAGTGCCGTAGCCAGGGGAAGGAAAGCCTATTGCACGAATCTTCGTGCAACAGTCATCTAGTGTAATTATATATAATTACAAACGACACAGCCTGTTATGACCTTTTAAAAACGATGGAATATTAGAATCTTTGTTTCTCTTTTTGTATAGTATAGAACCATCCAGAATTGGCCAAGTTCAAGTTGTAAGACGACATCATTGGTGACCTACAGGTAATTTCACGATGATGTGATGCTTGTCCTCAGTCCACTCACTAGACAGAGACCGCGGCACAGTGATAAAATAGAGTTAAATAGCCAATTTCTTTGTGATGTTAGGAAATCACTTCTAGAAAATTTCTTAGACTCGCTTTTCCTCATCTGTAAAGTGAGACTGACAGTGTATAAGGGTAAAGAATGAAATGGGATATTTAATGCATAGTGTGTAACAAAATACAATTTATTTTTGGTTTTTTAAGTTATTTATTTATTTATTTTTAAATATATTTTATTGATTTTTTTTTTTACAGAGAGGAGGATAGAGAGATAGAGAGCTAGAAAAGTCGATGAGAGAGAAACATTGACCAGCTGCCTCTTGCATACCCCCTACTGGGGATGTGCCCGCAACCAATGTATATGCCTGGAATCGAACCTGGGACCTTCCAGTCCACAGACCGACGCTCTACCACTGAGCCAAACCAGTTTCGGCTGTTTTTTAAGTTTTTATTCTATTGAATTTGGAAGAGAGAGACAGACAGACAGGCACAGACACACGTGGATTTGTCGTTCCATTTATCATGCACTCATTGGTTGGTTTTGTATGTGCCCTGACCAGGGATTGAGCCCACAGCCTTGGTGAGTCAGGATGCCATTCTAACCAGTTGAGCTACCCAGCCAGGGCCAGAAATGCAATTTCTTTTCTTTTTTTAAAATCTTTATTGTTGAAAGTATTTCATAGGTTCTCCTTAAAAATCCAATTTCTTAAATGCTAGCTCCCATTATATTTTAAATAATACATCTGTCTCAGAGAGGAATTATCTCTATGGGGAAAAGTTTGAAAAGTATTCTTATCCCTGATGTTAACCTCAGTTCTGAGTGAACATCTCCTTTGTGCCTTTATAGATCCTTCAAGGCATTTTTCCCTCTCCTTGGCGACTTCTCTCAGCCAGAGGGTCAGCTCTGGGCACTGTGGGCTATGCATCATGTCTGCAGTAGAGACCGTATGTATCCAAAACAGTAGTTTTGCAGCTATTTTTCAGCGTAATAAGTTTAATATGGAATTTGGAAAAACTGTTCACCTATGTCCTAAATTAACTCCTTTTAAAAGGAAATGAAAAAAAAAAAAAGAAGAAAAAAAAAAGAAGTACCATATTTTTCGGATCATAAGACGCACCGGACCATAAGACGCACCAGTTTTTAGAGAAGGGAAATGAAGAAAAAAAGATTCTGAAACAAATAGTGTCCTAAAATATTTTATGTGCATTAAAACCCAACATCACAGTCATAAACACATGTAATCAACCCTGTAAAGTAAACAGCAGCATTTAGAACCATTTTAGAGCCGGGCAAGCACAGAGACCACACAGAGCCGGGCAAGTAAAAAAACTTTTTTTTAAAAGTATATGTGTAGGCTATATTTGGACCATAAGACGCAGGGACTTTTCCCCCCCCACTTCTGGGGGGGAAAAAGTGCGTCTTATGGTCCGAAAAATACGGTATTCGTTTCAAAAAATGGAACAAAATTATAATATATTTGAAGGTGAGTATCAAGCAATATAGAATGTGCCTGTTTCCCACAGGCCAACACCAGGAATAATTGATAGCTATAGGGAGCATTTAAGATCTTGCTCCCTGGTATGGGTTGTCAGTTTGACTCAAATAAACTCACATAAAAATTTTTTTAAAAATTGATAGCTTTAACTATTCTAGAAGCTTTTCTATATGCATACTATGTTAGTATGTACTATATATGAATGTGATATTTTTATTTTTACTTATTTATTTGTTTGCTTATTTATTTATTTATTAAAAAATATATTTTATTGATTTTTTACAGAGAGGAAGAGAGAGGGATAGAGAGTTAGAAACATTGATGAATCGATGAGAGAGAAACATCGATCAGCTGCCTCCTGCACACCTCCTACTGGGGATGTGCCCACAACCAAGGTACATGCCCTTGTCCGGAATCGAACCTGGGACCCTTCAGTCCGCAGACCGACGCTCTACCACTGAGCCAAACCGGTTTCGGCTGAATGTGATATTTTTAGATAAAATGGGCCAATTCTGTGCATACAATTGTATAGTTTTCTCTTTTTACTTAACAGTTTATCATGAAGACTCACTAATGTGATGCATAGATCTGCTGATTTGTGGGAGGCTGGGTGGGTCAGTTGTTGTTTACCAGCTAGATTAATGTTTTGCTGTTTAAATTCCTCTTTGAGAGTTTTTAGCTAATGTCTTTTGCTAAAGATAATTTGCATAATTTTTGGCTTTTATTATCAAAGACACATGGGCTTTAATTTAATGCTAAAATGCCCCCACAAAAAACCAAGAGGTAACTTAAAAAGCCTGATATAATTATGAGACATATTTTATTCCTAGATGGAAAGATAAGGTACATATGTCAATTTCCTTCAATTTATGGATATAATACAATTAATGTGAATGAGTAAGAGATGAGGCATCTGAAAATCTAAAGTTAATATGACAGAATAAAAAGGAAAGAATTAAACAAGAAAAATGGTTTAAGAGCTTGACCTAATACTTCTCTTTAAATTGTAAAAAATACTGTGAATGTTGTTGGCATATCAATAAATACAGGCAGATCTTTGGTCAAAATGGCCCTGAAACAGACCACTATATTCACTTACAAGAGCAGTAACTATAACAACTAGAACTTAGTTGAGTACTTACTATGTACAGGCAGTGTTGTAACCTCTCTATGAGAAACTAATTTTCACAATTAGAAGAGAGTAGCATTATTATTTTTTGTTTGTTTATTAATCCTCACCCAAGGCTATTTTTCCATTGATTTTTAGGGAGAGTGGAAGAGATGGGGAAAGAGAGAGAAACAGCGACATGAGAGAAACACATCTATTGGTTGCCTCCAGCATCTGGTGATTTCAGCTTATCTAATTCACCATATTGCCTGAACCTGAAATGCGTATTAATCTTGTAATAAAAGATGTTCTTGTTCTTAGCCATTTTTGCTAAGGTTAGAGCTATGTGAAGCATGAAGTTGTCTAGAAGAAAACATATTAAAATAATCATCTAGCAGAAGCCGGTTTGGCTCTGTGGATAGAGCAACAGTCTGCGGACTGGGGGGTCCCGGGTTCGATTCCGGTCGGTGGCGTGTGCATTGGTTGCAGGCACATCCCCAGTAGGGGGTGTGCAGGGGGCAGCTAGTCGATGTTTTTCTCTCATTGACGTTTCTGGCTCTCTATCCCTCTCCCTTCCTCTCTATGAAAAAATCAATAAAATATATTTAAAAATAATAATAATCATCTATTAGGTCACTACACAAGCCAAGCTTAATTTGAGTTTGAATTGAGTATTTCTTTTGAATTGACTTTAGATTACTTTCTCTGTCAGAGGGCTTAAAACTTTGTACCCTTCTTTCAAAAAGGTGAATGTGGTGACTTGGGAAAATTTAAAATACCAAATTGTCCATCAAGTTTTTTGCTTAATTTTTTCTCAGCTGGCAAGTACTGCACAATGTTAGCTGGAGAAGGAGGAATGCAGCTTTTGTGTGACGTCCAGGAGCACAGTGAGGCAGACCCCCCAGCACGGCGGATTGCAGCCTCCATCCTTGAGGACTTCAGAATGCACTTCATGAATCAGCAGAGACGCCCTTTGTGTTAAATGCCCCTTTTAACCGAAGGGCCTGGAGGTGCTCTGTTCCTCAAGGGCAGGCAGAGCTTCACGGCAGCCACTGAATGAGTTGGCCATTTTTCATTTATTTATTTTTATTTTTATTTGTATATTTTGATTATGTGTCTTTTCTTAATTTTAATTTTTTGTTGTTAATCTTGACTTGATATTTTTTCCATTGATTTTTTTTAGAGAGAGTGAAAGGGGGGGAAATAGAGAGAAAAACATCGATGTGAGAGAGACATCGATTAGCTGTCTCCCGTACCCCCCTCCCCCCAACCTGGGCTAGGAATCAAACTTGCAACCCAGGTATGTGCCCTTGACTGGAAATTGAACCCATGGCCCTTTGGTGCGAGGGCCAACACTCTGACCACGGAGCATACCAGCCAGGGTGGCCATCTTTTATTAATAGTGTTTGTAAGTTACCAAAGATTGCATTTTATGATGGCCATAGCCCTAATGGAAATAATTCTGAGAACATTCCCTCAGCAATTTTGAAAGATCAAGCTCTGGACTCTGGGAAGACCTGTGAGCTTGTATTGGAACTGTGCAGACACCAAAGGACATCCCACTGTGGGATGGAGGAAAAAGAAATATATTTTTTGCAGTTGTTGATATTCTTCTTGTGGCCCCTTCTCCTCAACTCTACATGTTAGACTGAGTGGTATAACATTCTCGGTATGTGGGTGTGCTGCAGGGGCATGGTGAGACTAAAGATTGAGAATAGTGTGCAGATGGAAGATTGTATGGGGACTGTGAATCTCAGTCCCTCAGAGCTTTAGTTGGAGAAGAACTGTGACCAGAACTGAGAGGAAGAGAAGGAGCCACAAAAAGTCTTTGCCAGAGATTTCAAGAGGTGCTCTTACCCAGCTGGGGGACAAGAAGAATACGGGCTTTTTTGAAAACCAGCTTCTATCACAATATAAATTGTTCGTGTCCTTGCAAACCCCCTCTGTAGAATAGAGTATGGAATCCTTTCTCACCTTATTATTGACAACTAACAAACCATATTTTGTCATTCATGTGTTTTTACTTTTTCAAAGAATAAAAATAAATTCCTTTTTTATTAGCATATTTTAGGACTAGAATGTAATTCTCTTTTTTGCCCACTCTTAACTGGAATGATACGTGCCATCTTTTGGAATGAAATGAGATTTATTTTAAACCATATTCCAAACTATTTCCCACCAGTGTCCCACTGGGTAAGGGAAATTTGTAGCCCCCTATAGTCCTGAAACCACTGTATTTCCTCTCATTCACTCCTGTGCATGACTGCAAAAACCCGTCCTCATCTCCTGACCTGGGTTCTAGTTCTCTGGAACATTCTTTCACCAGATATACTAGCTTTTGCTAATGTGAGGAGGTGATGGGACATTGTGCCTGCTGAGGTCCAGTTCTACACCAGGCACCTCTCCCCATGATTCACACAGTCAGCTGGAGTGTTAGTCTCCCCATTTAACAGGTGAGAAAAAGGAAGTTCAGTAAGGGTGTTACTTTTCTGATAAGTTGGGGCCGATTCTAAGGCCTGGGCTGTTCTGTGACACTCTCCCTCTCAGGAAATGAGCACAGCCGTGGAGTGCATTTGTATTAAGCAGCAAATGAACAGCATTATTGGTGTGTGTTTATGCCCGTGGCTCAGAGACTCTAGGCCTAGACTCAGGAAGTTCAGGTAAAGCTTAGCTCTGGTAAAGAATGACCGGAAGGCCCTGGTGTGAGGGCAGCCTTCATTCTCCTGCCTCAGTGCAGCAAGAGGGCTCCTGAGACCAGTGTGCCTATGTGCCTATCAGCCCCCTTTGTCTCTCCGTGTGTCCCCTTGTTCACCTCTGCTCATGCTGTTCCCCTCAACCTTCCTCCTCTTTGCATCAAATGTCTAATTCTTCCAGCTTCAACTCTAGTGTTCCCTACCCACCTATTTCCTGACCCTCCATTCTCTCCGTCAGCTAATCGCTTCCTTCTCGATGCCCCTGAAGCCTATTTCATTCAAATACAGTGGCCTGCCGCCCTGCAGTTTACGAAAGGTTTTCACAACAATCATTTTCATTGGTTCTCGCCAACACTGCACATGAACAACTCACATTTATTGAACACGAGGCATTTTATTTAAGTCCTCACAACAACTCCCTGTGGCAGATGAGGAAGCTAAGGCACACAGTGAGTCACTAACGTGGAGAGCTGGAGTCTGCGGTCTGACCCTGGCACCTACTCCTCTACCTGGGTTTCCTTCTGATTTCTATTGTTCGGTCAGCAACTGGGGGTCTTACTGCTTCTTGCCATCTCAGGTGAGTACACCTGCTCCCTGAGAGGCAGACGTCAGGCCTGAGAGCCAACAATTACGAAGGCAGAGGGGATCTGTTTTAATCCTTCGTTTATCATTCCAGTAGGGAAAGAGGCATTCTCCAAAGCTAACGGGCCCCGGTGGTGATATACACAGGGAGGGAAGAAGGATGGTACCAGTAGGTGGCCAGGTCAGCACCTTCGTACCAGGCACCACATGAGTCATTTTAGGTGCATTATTGTCCGTGTGAGAAAACTGAAGCCCGGAGATGAGAAATGAGGGCAGTCAATGCTGCCCATGTCCCTTCTGGATCCTGCCCTGTCAGGCGTGCCTCCCGGGCTTGAGCTGAATGGGAGTTACTCGCCCACAAATCGAGGGGGTCGTTTCTCCCTGAAGGCGGCCATGCCCTCTCGCCGGTCCCGGGTGGGGATGTTCTGAAACGACACAGAATGTTAGTTTGTTGGGGCGCAGGGCTAGAGGCCAGTAAGGACTTGCTCAAGTTTGTCCAGCCCATGACAAGGCAGGGTCCAAGTCTTCCTATTGTCGCTGGGCTCTGGTATTGGGCCGTGCAAAGGTATGGGCCTCGTGGCCCCTTAGTTTCCTGAAGAAGGCAGACTGCGCCTTTAGCACCTGGCCTGTCATTGGCCTCTGCTTGTCATGCTTACATGCCTCCACACAGCTGTCTGATACAAGGCTTCACCATGAGGAACTGGCTCTGAGTCCTGGTGGGTAGCTTTCACACCAGGCCCTGCAAGTTCCAGGACCCCCTGGTTAGGAGTTTTTGATGTCTGTTGACCTTGAGGTTAGTACTTGTTGACTCACCCAGGAGCTGGGTTTCAATAGGTCAGCCCCAGAGCTACCACCACACTGTCAGACACACACAGCCTGCAGGCTGGAATAAGCAAGACCTTACATCCCAACTCTAACCTGACCTCTACTGTGGCTACTCGTACAGAGACAGGAAGCCCTTCTTCCTCTCAGGTATCTCTGTTCTGTGCTTCTCTCGGTGGGGACAGAATGCACCACCACCAGGTAGCTGAGGAAGCAGTCCCAGAGAGAGCAGTGTGGTTCCTCTGGGATCAGCCCAGGCTGACTGTGAGGAGCAACTGTCATTGAGAGAGACCCTTTGGGCTGGGAGGGGCCTATTAAATTGGTCATGTATTGCACATGAGGTCCCCCTGGCCCAGCATCTGCTTACAAGCATGCATGGACTTGGGCAGCAACCACATACCTGGGCATAGCACATCCCTTCAATGGCCATCCCCGATGCGATGTCCACCTGCGAGAAAGAATCCTGAATAAGCCTGACCTTGCCCACCTCCACCCACACTGAGCTCGCCCGCCTTACTGCCTGAACTATTCTGTTGGTTCATGGCTTACTCCGGCAGAGAATTACTGAGTCTTACTGTGTGCCAGTCACGCACAGAGATGATTATGATAAAGGACTCTTGGAGAGCAAACACCTAAATTGACATAACAGTGCTGGGACCAATAGGGGCGGTGAGCACAATGGGGAGGGTTGACAAGCCGGTAGCGCCGAGGAGGTTGTGTCTTTGCAGACAGTGTTCTCATGGGCTGCCTCACCATGCCTCCTGTCACCCCCATTGGTGAACTTATTGCCCTTGGGAATAAGGTTCTAGGCTTTCACAGTCTGGCCCTGGTGCTCAGAGCTCACTATTGCTGCTGAGCAAGCACTGTTCTAAGGGAAGTTCGGCATGTATAATCCTAACAACAAAGGTTACCATCCCTACTGTGCAACCGACAAGTCTGACGAATAGAAAGGTGAAGGAATTTCTCCAAAACCACAGCAGTATGTGGAAAAGCAGGTCTTTGAACCCAGATAGCTCAGCACCAGAACCCATGCCCCTAACTTCCGTGATTTATTCTCACTCACCCCTTTGAATTGCTTGTTTACACATCCCTGTGATTTTGCTCCTATTTTTTGCCTTTCCTGGAATTCTCGTTCTTTCCAAGGCCCAGCTCTAGAAAAATTCCTGTAACTCGGCACTACCCAGTGGGACAGTGCTGCTTAAATCTCCACCGGCTCTCTGCTTGGTATTTTCAACCTTTTATTAGTGACCTGAGCCTGTACCTACCCCCCTCCCACCTTTGGGCAGTGACGACATTGGACTCACTGTGTCCCTGTCTTCGGCTCAGCTCAGACTCAGTGTGTGATGGACGATTAGGGAAGCTGATGTGGAGGGATGGACCCTCTCCGTGGGCCACACCGACCTGGTTTTATTACTGGTTCTGTGACCCGGATGAGCCATTTACCCTCTCTGAACCCCCGTTTCCTTCTCCCCAAGGGAAAAGGATGAGGATAAAATGAATCTGGGATGTCACCTGGTCAAACTTTACAAGTTGGCACTCAAGCAACCCCGGGACTGGATGTTCCAGGAATCCGGTCCCCGCGTTCTTTCCAGCTGAGCCGTCAGAGTGCTGAGCTCGCTGCCTCCGAGCCACCTCACCCCACCCCACCGACCTCACCCCACCCCACCGGCCTCACCCCACCCCACCGGCCTCACCCCACCCCACCGACCTCACCCCACCCCACCGACCTCACCCCACCCCACCGACCTCACCCCACCCCACCCCACCGGCCTCACCCCACCCCACCGACCTCACCCCACCCCACCGACCTCACCCCACCCCACCCCACCGGCCTCACCCCACCCCACCGACCTCACCCCACCCCACCGACCTCACCCCACCCCACCGACCTCACCCCACCCCACTGACCTCACCCCACCCCACCCCACCGACCTCCCCCCACCCCCCCCACCCCACCCCACCCCACCGGCCTCACCCCACCCCACCGACCTCACCCCACCCCACCGACCTCACCCCACCCCACCGACCTCACCCCACCCCACCGGCCTCACCCCACCCCACCGGCCTCACCCCACCCCACCGACCTCACCCCACCCCACCGACCGCACCCCACCCCACCGACCGCACCCCACCCCACCGACCTCACCCCACCCCACCCCACCGACCTCACCCCACCCCACCGACCTCACCCCACCCCACCGGCCTCACCCCACCCCACCGACCTCACCCCACCCCACCGGCCTCACCCCACCCCACCGCCCTCACCCCACCCCACCGACCTCACCCCACCCCACCCCACCGACCTCACCCCACCCCACCGACCTCACCCCACCCCACCGGCCTCACCCCACCCCACCGACCTCACCCCACCCCACCGGCCTCACCCCACCCCACCGGCCTCACCCCACCCCACCGACCTCACCCCACCCCACCGACCTCACCCCACCCCACCGGCCTCACCCCACCCCACCCCCACCGACCTCACCCCACCCCACCGACCTCACCCCACCCCACCGACCTCACCCCACCCCACCGACCTCACCCCACCCCCACCGACCTCACCCCACCCCACCCCACCGGCCTCACCCCACCCCACCGACCTCACCCCACCCCACCGACCTCACCCCACCCCACCGACCTCACCCCACCCCACCGACCTCACCCCACCCCACCGACCTCACCCCACCCCACCGGCCTCACCCCACCCCACCGACCTCACCCCACCCCACCCCACCGACCTCACCCCACCCCACCGGCCTCACCCCACCCCACCGGCCTCACCCCACCCCACCGACCTCACCCCACCCCACCGGCCTCACCCCACCCCACCGACCTCACCCCACCCCACCGGCCTCACCCCACCCCACCCCACCGACCTCACCCCACCCCACCGGCCTCACCCCACCCCACCGACCTCACCCCACCCCACCGGCCTCACCCCACCCCACCGACCTCACCCCACCCCACCGGCCTCACCCCACCCCACCGACCGCAGTCCTGGCCCGAGCCCGCACCTCCATTCCGCGGTCAATGGCCACTTTGCCCAGCCGCACAGCAATGGGCGCCTGGAGAAAAGAAAAGGCTTGGCTGAGGAGGGGATCACTGCTGACCGGGGAGCAGAAATAAAGGCACACAGCTCCCTGGAGGGGGGAGAGGTGTGGGCAGGGGGGCGGAGTAATAGCTTTCTGCTCAGCGTTATTTCCGCCAGTGTGAGCAGCTGCTGGCTTTGTCCCCGCTCCTTTTCTGTCATAAAGAAAGCCTGACTGATCCCTGCCCTGCCCAATCCTCACCCTCTGGGGTTCTTGTCGTTTAATTCATTCTTATGAATACAACAGTTTACAAAGTGCTTTCCCGCCCAGAGACTTGTCTATTGGTGTAGGTTACAGTTGCAGGATGGTGCCATCTGTAATTGAGGCTCGGGGAGGGGAGTTGTCCAGTGCGTCAGGCGGAGATTGGGTATGGCTCCCAGTCAGTGTTCCCACTGCTGCTCCCTCCCTCCACCCGCTGCCCGGCTCAGCTCAGCAAATGCAAACCTCCACGGCAAGCGAGTTTTCCGTCGGTGGAGGCAAAGCCTGGTCAGGATTAGAACGTGGGCTTTGAGGTCTGGCCAGCCTGGGTTGAAATCGCAAGGGGGCATTTTGCACAGCCATTGGGAAGCAAGAGCATCAAAGCTGCCATCTTCGCTTGTCTGGTCTTGCTTCCAATTGTGCCAACAACAGGCCTGGCACTGCATCCCCAGCCCCACTTCCAGGCAGAGGGCGCACTTTCTGCCTGTAGTAGTCGTATTATTTGAAGTTTTTATAAGTAAGAGTTTATCAGAAAAAGAAAGCCTGTTTTAAAGTCTGATAGCAAAGGAGCCATAATTGAAAAAGCTAGTTACAGCCGAAACCAGTTTGGCTCAGTGGATAGAGCGTCAGCCTGAAGACTGAAAGGTCCCAGGTTCGATTCCTGTCAAGGGCATGTACCTTTGTTGTGGGCACATCCCCAATAGGGGGTGTGCAGAAGGCAGCTGATCGATGATTCTCTCTCATTAATGTTTCTAGCTCTCTATTCCTCTCCCTTCCTCTCTGTAAAAAATCAATAAAATATATTTTTTTTAAAAAGAAAGAAAAGAAAAAGCTAGTTACATAGAAATGAAGTTGAGAAAAACACCACAAATCAAAGGCAACAGTAAAAAACTGGGGAAATGTATTTGTGATACTTATGACAGATGAATTTTCTTGATTTATAAAAAGCTAGTAGTATTTTTCACCGAAACCGGTTTGGCTCAGTGGATAGAGCGTCGGCCTGCGGACTGAAGGGTCCTGGGTTTGATTCCAGTCAAGGGCATGTACCTTGGTTGCGGGCACATCCCCAGTAGGGGGTGTGCAAGAGGCAGCTGGTCGATGTCTCTCTCTCATCGATGTTTCTAACTCTCTATCTCTCTCTCTTCCTCTGTAAAAAATAAATAAAATATATATATATTTTTTAAAAAGCTAGTATTTTTCCAACAAATATTCATAAATATATGAAAAGGTAGTTCACAGAAAAATATAAACACAAGGGGTTCCCAGATTTATTCCTAGTTAAGAAAATGAGAATCAGGGAGGTGCCCCTTTAACCTCAGACCAGGTAAGTAGTAAAAATGTTGGTATTGCCCACTATTGCTAGGGTTAGGAAGCAAGTATTTGCATACATTATTGATAGAGTAAATTGGTACAATGCTTTGGGGAAGGCAATTTGGCAAGAATTGGCAAATGTTAGATGCACATGCTTAAAAAAAAAAACAAACATAAGGGAGAGAAACATCAATGATGAGAATCATTGATCAACTGCCTCCTACATACCTCCTACTGGGGATTGAGCCCGCAACCCAGGCATGTGTCCTGACTGGGAATCGACCATGACCTCCTGGTTCATAGGTCAATGCTCAACCACTGAGACACACCAGATGGGCGATGAGCATACTCTTTGATGTTGCAACTCCTTGTAGGAATCTATCCTGCAGATGCACAACTACAAGTACACTAAGATGCACAGTTATTCACTCCAGCTATTTTGCAGTAGCAAAAAGATGTAAGCCACATAAATGTTCATTAGGGTACTGGTTAAATAATAGCACATCTAGACCATGAATGAAAAAGTGCAGTTGCTTAAAAGAAGGAGATCAATAAATATACAGAGGTGGGCAAAAGTAGGTTAGTAATAATAATAAATAATACAACCATTAAAAAATAATACAGTGCCTGGCTGGCATGGCTCAGTGGTTGAGGATTGACCTATGAACCAGGAAGTCATGGTTTGATTTCCGGTCAGGGCATATGCTGGGTTGCAGGCTTGATCCCCAGTGTGGGATATGCAGGGGGCAGCTGATCAATGAATAAAAATACATTTAAAAATAATACAAGAATAGCCGAGACCGGTTTGGCTCAATGGATAGAGCGTCGGCTTGGGGACTGAAGGGTCCTGGGTTCGATTCCGGTCAAGGGCATGTACCTTAGTTGCGGGCATATCCCCAGTGGGGGGTGTGCAGGAGGCAGCTGATCCATGACTCTCTCTCATTGATGTTTCTAACTCTCTATCTCTCTCCCTTCCTCTCTGTAAAAAATCAATAAAATATATAAAAAAAAATAATAATAATACAAGAATAAACTTTTGCATACTCACAACTGTAACCTACTTTAGCCACCTCTGTATGTACTCATATCCTATATAATAAAAGCCTAATATGCTAAGTGTCCACTTGTCCAGTCGGCCACTCAACCAATCAAACCGTAATATGCTATTGATATGCTAAGGCCGCTCAACCACTTGCTCTGATGTGCACTGACCACCAGGGGATAGGCAGTTGACTGGTCGACCAGTCGCTATGACATGCACTGACCACCAGGGGGCGGATGCTCTGACCAATAGGTTAGCTTGCTGCTGGGGTCTGGCTGATTGGGAATGAGCAAGATGGGCCAAATATGCCCTGGGGCCCTCCCACAGTCCCTCCCTGGCCCTGATTGTGCACCAGGCCTCTGGTACATAAATTACCGTATTTTTCGGACCATAAGACGCACTTTTTCCCCCCCCAGAAGTGGGGGGGAAAGTCCCTGCGTCTTATGGTCCAAATATAGCCTACACATATACTTTAAAAAAAAAAGTTATTTTACTTGCCCAGCTCTGTGTGGTCTCTGTGTGCTTGCCCGGCTCTAAAATGGTTCTAAATGCTGCTGTTTACTTTACAGGGTTGATTACATGTGTTTATGACTGTGATGTTGGGTTTTAATGCACATAAAATATTTTAGGACACTATTTGTTTCAGAATCTTTTTTTCTTCATTTCCCTTCTCTAAAAACTGGTGCGTCTTATGGTCCGGTGCGTCCTATGGTCCGAAAAATGCGGTAAATTCTTTTTAGAATGGTCTAAGGGACAAGGAATATACCTTTAGAGGGTAATCTAATTCTAAGAGACATTTTTAAAACATGAATTAAAATGTGATAGTAAAGAATTCAAACAATATGGAAAAGGATAAAGCAAAAAGTGAAGTTCCTTTCTCCTGACCCTTTCCTACAAGGCATGTTGTACCAACACCTTTTACACAAATGGGATAATAATAAACATACTAGTAGGGACCTTGTTTTTTTTTAAACTAATATCCTGGAGGTTCCCATTTCAGTATATGTCTGTGTATGTATTAGCAGACACATTTATTTCTAAGTATATAGACATACTTAAATGTGAGGATTATTAAAAATCTAATAATTAGGTTGTTTTTTGGAAATGAGGACAGTGAATCACACTGGTACCGTATGTTCAAGTAGAAAACAGCCAAATTCATAATTTAAAGCAAAATGTATATTTTCAATTTAGGGGGGAAATATGAATATTAAGTTATAGCCCTTGCATTCATTAGAAGTCATTTTTGGACCCTACTCTCTGGAACCATTTGACTCCCTAGTCTTAGTGGTTTGTCCACCAGAGGGTAGCCATGTTCCACACCTGGCAGTCACTCCATCCAGGAACTGGCTGGAAGCTGAAGGTTTACTTTTTTAGGTTGCATCAGATATTCCAGCATTGGGATTAATAATTATAGTACTAGTTGTTGGTATGCTGGTGTTTTGGAATGCAAAGCTACTTTCAAGTACTGAAATACTGGTACTTACATTAGTATAATACCATTATTTTAGAATACTAAAAATCAGAATCATCTTGAGATCGAGCTCAAAGACCCAGTTACACAGTTTCTGCAAAAAGACAACCCTTTAGTCTACCAGTCTTGCTAGGTAGGACCCCTCTGAAGGTGCAGCCAGCCGAGACCTTGAGTCCCGTAGAGTTTTGTTTAGATCAGATACTTCCTGATCAAGTATAATAGGAATCTGATATCATTAAAATTGGCCGAGTGGCACCATCAGATGCTCCATTTATATGTTACGAAACTAAAAAAAGAAATGAAGACAAAACATGCTTTCTTTTAAATCAAAGTCACTATTAGTTTTTAAAGTTATAGTCCCTGTCCTCAGGGAAGGCTCAAAGTTATAAAAAGAAGGTAGGATTGCCGAAGCTGGTTTGGCTCAGTGGTAGAGTGTCGGTCTGCGGACTGAAAGGTCCCAGGTTCGATTCCGGTCAAGGGCATGTACATTGGTTGCGGGCACATCCCCGGTAGGGGGTATGTAAGAGGCAGCTGGCCAATGTTTCTCTCTCATCGGCGTTTCTAGCTCTCTATCTCTCTCCCTTCCTCTCTGTAAAAAATCAATAAAATATATTAAAAAAAAAAAAAGAAGAAGAAGAAGGTAGGATTATTTAAATAGAAGATAGAGAAAGATTTTTCCAAAATAAATACTAGCCGGGACCGGTTTGGCTCAATGGATAGAGCGTTGGCTTGGCGACTGAAGGGCCCCGGGTTCGATTCCGGTCAAGGGCATGTACCTTGGTTGCGGGCATATCCCCAGTAGGGGGTGTGCAAGAGGCAGCAGATCGATGACTCTCTCTCATTGATGTTTTGAACTCTCTATCTCTCTCCCTTCCTCTCTGTACAAAAATCAATAAAATATATATTTAAAATAAATAAATAAATAAATAAATAAATACATACATACATACTAGCCCAGCCAGCGTGGCTGTGTTTGAGCATTTACCTATGAACTAGAAGGTCCTGGGTTCAATCCCTGTTCAGCGCACATGCTCAGATTGTGGGCTCAATCCCCAGTGTGGAATTTGCAGGAGGCAGTCAATCAATTATTATCATCATTGATGTTTCTCTCCCTCTCTGAAACAATTTCTCTGAAATCAGTAAAAAAGTATTTAAAAAAAAAACACAAAATAAATATTTAATTTTCATAATTATTCAAATAGTTTCATCTGTTAATACTAAAATGATGAATGGAAAATATTTTTATAGACTTACATTTTTTGTTTTGGAACATGTTTTTGAACATTTTTTATATTTGAAATGCATTAGTTTTATAGTTTTAGAAATTTTTGTACATATTGTGTATTCTTTGGAATAAAATGCTAGTTTTTACATTATATGTAGTTTTTATATTATGTAAAATAATTACCAAAATACCTGTGTTGTCTCTCTGCTACGGCATTGCAGTCACTTTTTGTGACCTTGATGAGCAAGTCACTTAACTTTCCTGGGTCTGTTACATTACAGATAAAATGAGGATAATCAACCCAGCTGGATTGTTCCAATGAAAGTACCTAAGATAGTGTCTAATAGGAGATGCTCCACGAGGGCTTAATCAAGCCTCCTATATAATAAAAACCTAATATGCTAAGTGTCCGTTCGTCCATTCATACATTCAACCAATCAAAACATAATATGCTAATGATATGCTAAGGCCACTCAACCACTCACTCATCTCAGAAAGTTCTCTTGGACAGTGCTGTTCTGAAGACTTTCAAGCCCATCTGAGTCCCTCAGAATTCAATTTTCATTTTAACATTTGACTTAATTTTGTTTACTGGATGGCTAAATGGATGCAAGATTCGAAGAGGGCTAATTTTATGAGTCTGGGAACGTGGATCTTATGTGGCCCTGTGGGACACCCTGGCCTCCCCACACGCGTCCCCCACGGCGCAGGTCCTCCCTGCCCGCTGGGCTGGGCTGCCAGCACACCTGGGGCAGGATCTCCTGGGCCAGTTCCCGCGCCCGGAGGTAGGCAGCACTGCCCTCCTCATTCTGGGCCACGGCGTGATTCACCAGCCCCAGGGCCTGGGCCTGGGTCCCACTCAGCCGTCGGCCTGTGAAGATGAGCTCCTTCGCCAGGGCCACCCCCAGGCACCGGGGCAGCCTCTGGGTCCCTCCTGCAGGGAGGGAATGGGGATGGTCAGTCAGCGTGGGAAGTGGGAGCCCAGAGAGGGCCCAGGCTGGGCATCAGCCAGGACTTCTTCTCAGAAGCAGATTCTGAGTCAGGCCGGAAGGGCAGAGCCTAGGAAACGGGGGGGAAAGAGGAGACGGGGAAGTACTCTGGCCAGAGGAAGTGGGCAGGCAGAGGAGGACGGGTGCTGTGGGTGACGTTACCTGCTCCTGGGAGGAGCCCTCGGGTGGTCTCGATCAGCCCCATGACAGCTGAGGAAGCTGCATAAACAGAGGGAAGACCCCACCCTCTCAAGGGCCAATCCTTGGAGAGACGTGACACCTACCTCTGGGCTCTCTGCTCACCCCTTCAGCCAACCACTTCCATCACATTCCGGCCTGGCGGTCAGGAGGCCCAGGTCCTCATCCTACCGTCCCCACTGGGGTCGAGGGTGGGGGCTGTGCGTCCCCAGGCAAGTGTCTCTCCCTTTCTGAGCCTCATAGGTGGAAAGAGATGATGACCACTCTTCTGCCTGCTTCATAGAGCTGCCAAGGGCCCAGTGAGGTAACGGTGCTTGGAACAAGGAAGGGGGACCTGGAAGGTGCCCACGGCCTGTCTGTGGGTTAATGGATTCTCTGTCCCAGGCACCCTTAGCTATGGTCTGGCCCGGAGTGTGAAGGACTCCGCTCCCACCCGTTACTCCTCCCGGCGCTTCATCAGCCTGACATTTTCCCGTGCTCAGTCCACATCCCTCTCCTGAGTTCTGCTTCCTCTGAGAAGCCCTCTGAATGTTCCACCACAGGCTTCTCTCCTGAATTCCCTCTGGCCACCTGAGCCAGGCAGGAGGGAACAGCCATCTCTTCTGCCTGTGAGGGGTTTTACACTCCCTCCTATTGTCCAAACCCTGCAGGTTCGTTGGCCTTAAACACGGGACAAGGTGAGAAGCAGATTTGGGGCTATGGCCTGACAGGCATTTTGACGCCTTTTCGTTGGCATGCATTGTGTAGCTATCAGCTACTTACGTGGCTCGAGTTGCACATTTAAAAAAATATATTTTACTGATTTTTTTTTTGATTTTTTTTTTTTTTCTTACAGAGAGGAAGGAAGAGGGAGAGTTAGAAACATCGATTAGAAACATCCATCCGCTGCCTCCTGCACATCCCCCTCTGGGGATGTTCCTGCAACCAAGGTACATGCCCTTGACCAGAATTGAACCTGGGACCCTTCAGTCCGCAGGCCGACGCTCTATCCACTGAGCCAAACCGGTCAGGGCTTGAGTTGCATATTTTAAAATGTTCCGGGGCGGCAGGGGAAAGCATTGAGGGAAGACAGAGCGCCATGATGGCGCAGACTCTTCTGTCTCCAGAAGGGAGCACCTCACCACCGAGTCAGTAAGGTTAAAATGTAACCGGTGTCCTCATCTCCTCTCCACTCTGCAAGGCCTGGACAATGAACCAGAGGGCAATGTTCCTGCCGGGGATGTTTGTGTTCAGCTGGGCAGGTGACAGGCTGCCCCTGCCTCACCTTTGTTCACAACATGCTAAGTAGCCCTAACCGGTTTGGCACAGTGGATAGAGTGTCGGCCTGTGGACTGATGGGTCCCAGGTTCGATTCCAGTCAAGGGCATGTACTTTGGTTGCGGGCACATCCCCAGTAGGGGGTGTGCAAGAGGCAGCGGATTGATGTTTCTAACTCTCTCTCTCTCTCTCTGTAAAAAATCAATAAAATATATTTTAAAAACCCACACATGCTAAGTAAAGCTTCTTGGACAGATCTGGAGGGTTAGACACCTAGTCTTGTCCTGCTCTGCCCTCCCTCTCTGTGCTCTCGCCCCTGTCCCGTCAGCAGTGGCTCTCAATCGGCAGGAGCACTCTGGTGCTGAGGGAGGCTGGTGCCGGGAGTGGCTGGTTCTACAGCAGTCAGGGGCTGGGCCAGGAGGGACCAGCTTCCCCTGTGCCCCCCACCTTGCCTTCAGTCTGCGGTGGGTAGGAAAGCCAAGAGCAGTGGCTGACTTCACAGGATCCCCAGACTTACCCTGTTTCACTCACCCTATCCTCACCACCTTACCCCGCCTCTCCCCCTGCCCAGTACCTGCCACTCGAAGGTCACAGGCCAGGGCAAGCTCCAGGCCTCCACCCAAGGCGTACCCATCCATGGCTGCAATGGTGGGTGCGGGGAAGGCCGCTGCGGAGACGAAGAAGGGCTCCGGTGAGAGGCGTTGGCAGGACCAGGACAGGGAGGGACCCACGGTTAGAGAGGGCCCCAGTGGTGTCAGATTTGGGGGCCTCAGCCGGGTTATTTTAGAAGCTGGATTTTCCAACAGGGGAATGTGTGGGACCAGCTTAGGAACCAGGGTGGGGAGATGATGGGCTGGATGATCCCTGCTCGGGCCCCCTCCCCTGCCAGCCACCTGGGGACTGGCCATTCTGCTTTCCCTTCTTGCTCTGTGTGGCAAGCCCCGTGCTGGGTGCCGGGAACACAGAATGGAATGAGGCCTGGGAAGACAGACCCAGGCGGTCTGTACTCTGTTACAGGAAGCTTGGAGGAGGGGTCAGGGAAGCCCTTCTGGGGGAGGAGGTATGGGTGGTATTAAAGGATGAGTAAGGCCGAAACCAGTGTGGCTCAGTGGATAGAGCGTCGGCCTGCGGACTGAGAGGTCGCAGGTTCGATTCCCGTCAAGGGCATGTGCCTTGGTTGCAGGCACAACCCGGTGGGGGGTATGCAAGAGGCAGCTGATCGATGTCTCTCTCTCATGGATGTTTCTAACTCTCTATCCCTCTCTCTCCCTCTCTGTAAAGAATCAATAAAATTAAAAAATATATAATATTAAAAAAAAAAAAAAGGGGAGGGGATGAGTAAGAAGTTCAGGTGGCTGAGGAGGGATATCCCAGCCAAAGGACCCACAATGTCCAAGCCTGGAAGCATGTTTGGTGGAACATGGCTCCTCTGGAACAGCGAGGCTTGAAGCCTGACGTCACGGGGTGGGTGGAGGGGGACACAAAGGCTGAGCCCCGTGCGAAGGAGACGCCCTCTACACCCTCTGGTCGCCTCCTCCTTGTGCAATTCCTGTGCCCGTCCTCCCTGGGAGAGCCATCTGTCTTTCCACGGAGCTTATGGTAGAAGCTGTCTTCTTAGAATAAAGGGGGGGGGGGGGTATGGCAGGGGTCAGCAGGACCCTCCTCCACCCCACGTCTGGACCCTCACCAATCTCATTCATCAGGCCTCGGAGCCGCTGGACAAAGACCCCCACCTCTGCCTCACTCATCTGCTCCCGCTCCTTCAGGTCTGCACCTGCAAATGAGGGGCTGGCGACAGTCCTTGGGAAATAACCCGTTACTGAGTCCTCGGCTGTTCCGATCCAGCGAAGGAGATTGAGGAGAAGCAGCCAGCTGGGAAGGAGAAACACCAGGAAGATCCAGGGAGGAAAGGGAGTGGGTCATACAGGAGAGGTGCCACGACAGAAAGAAAAATTGTGTTTCACAATTAACCCTTTGCACTCCGAACCATTCTGGACATTGGCTACCAGCTACTCGACGCTACTTTGCGGCGGACACGTGCGTTGAATTAACTCAATTCCCCGTAATCACTAATTAACTGCAATGTCCCCCCTGAGAGGGGACATCCGAGTGAGATGCTAGAATTCCTATGTCCCCTGAGAGGGGACAGCGGAGTGCAAAGGGTTAAAACTTTTCTGCCAAAAGACACTGCGAAGGAGTGAAAAGACAGCCCACAGAATGGAAGAAAATATTGGCAGTTCACATATCTAATAGGAGATTGTCTAGGACATGCAAAAACCTCCTATTACTTAACAAAAAAACCCACAAAGGACAAAGATTTCAATAGTCTTTTCTCCAAAGAAGATGCACAGGTGGCCAACAAACACATGAAAAGATCCTTAAATGGCCTAACCGGTTTGGCTCAGTGCATAGAGCACATGTGTCAAACACAAGGCCCTCGGGCCAAATCCGTCCCACCAGGCCTTGCAATGTGGCCCGCACTGCGCTGTCATCACTGCACTCCGCTGCGTTTCCATCACAATGACAGTTTATGACTGTTCAGTAAACCATTCGGCCCGCGATTTAGGCTGGATTTTAGATTTTGGCCCCTTCTCTGATTGAGTTCGACACCCCTAGCATAGAGCATCGGCCTGAGGACTGAAAGGTCCCAGGTTTGATTCCGGTCAAGGGCATGTACCTTGATTGGGGTACATTCCCAGAAGGGGGTGTTGCAGGAGGCAGCTGATCGATGTTTCTAACTCTCTATCCCTCTCCTCTGTAAAAAATAAAATAAAATAATAATAATAAAATATAAAAAAATATATATATATATATATTTATATATAAATAATAAATATTTTTTTAAAGATGCTTAACATCATTAGGTAAATTTGCAAAAGCAGACAGAACATGAGTGTTGTCAAGCCTCTGTAAAAAAAAAAATCAATAAAATATATATATATATTTTTTAAAAAGATGCTTAACATCATTAGTTATTAGGGAAATGCAAACCCAAACCACAATGAGTTCACATCCCATTAGGATGGCTATTATAAACAACGTGGAGAACCCTGGTGCGTTGCTGGTGGGATTATAACATGTTGCAGCTGCTGTGGAAAACATTCTGGTGGTCTCTCAAAAAAGTAAAACATGAAACTACTGTGATCCAGTAATTCCGCTTCTAAGGATATACTCCAAATATGGAAAGCAAGGACTCAGACAGACCCTTGCGTACCAGTGTTCAGAACAGCATTACCTACGATAGCCAAGAGGTGTACACAACCCAGTGTCCCCCAAAGGATGGATTAATAAAATGGGTGAAGATGCAATGGGAGAGTCAGCCATAAAAAGGAAAGATGCTCTGATTCATGGATGAACCTTTGCTGGTCTTTGGTTCAGTTTCCTCTTTTCCTCAGGGAAGGGGTTGGAACGCAGCATGGTGTGGCCTCGAGAATAAGGATTCGGGGGACAGAAAGGCCAAGTTCAAACCGGATTCTCTTCTACCCCTTGGTAGCTATGTAACCCTAGGCAGGGAGTTTTACCTCTGAGACTTGAGTTCACGTCTGTCAAATGGGAAGGATGAGTCCTCGGCCAGAGATGACGTAAGCCCCCACCAACCCCTGCGGGCGGGGGCGGGGGGGGGGGGGAGCCCCGCGGAGCCCCGGGAGGGGGGGAGGGGGGACACCCACCTGCGCAGAACACACCCTTCACTGCACTCCGGAAGAGCAGGACGCGCACTTGCCGGTCCTCCCGCAGCCGAGCCAGGGCTTCCAGCAGCTGCAGAGCAGACCCGTCAGACACCTCCCGGCCCGGCCCGGCCCGCCCGGTGTGTGCGTGCCTCACCTCGCTAACAAAGACGTATCCCAGGGCATTTCGGGCCTGCGGTCTGTTCATCAGGATCTCGGTGATTCCTGCAGGGACGGGCGACCTTGGGTGAGGCCCTGGCCCGCTCACCCTGGCTGGGCCTGGGCAGCCCCTACCCTTGAGCGGCAGCGTGACGGGAGTCACACATGCCCAGCTTTGGTTCTCCTGACGTTAAAACTGAATAGCACTGTCCCTCCTGCTTCACCAAAGAAGCAGAGGGGATTGTGGACTGTGGAGAACACGGGGAGAGGGACAATGACCACTGCAGTGGTTCCTGCCTGCTTCTGCCATCGTCACACACACACACACACACACACACACACACACACGCACACACGCGCACGCATGCACACACACATTCTCTCTCTCTCTCTCTCTCAGAACCTGCAGTGTGACAGAGAAGACAGAGATTCGGTGATGCAATTACTGTTTGTGATGAGAACACAATAAAAAGGACAAGGAGGAAGGAGGAATGGAGTGGGCCAAGGGGAACCCTAGTGTAGAAGGTCAACGTGACCTGGTGGAGGAACCGACCTTTTAGCTGAGAGCTGAGGGATGACTAGGAGAGCAAGGCAGGCAGACGTGTGTGTGTGTGTGTGTGTGTGTGTGTGTGTGTGTGTGTGTGTGAGTGTGTGTCGTGGGGAGAAAAGCCCATTCCCGGCAGAGGGAGCTGCACAGACGAGGCCCCTGGGTGTGGGAGGTCCTACAAAATCTGCAGAGCTGGGCCGCGTAGGTTCTTTCTGGCTGGGCCCGACCATGAAACTGACATAAACCAGATTAACAGGAGAAAAGCATATACTACCGTGTCTCCCCGAAAATAAGACATCCTCCGAAAATAAGACCTGCTTACAGGTTTCCTTCTGAGTGAAATATAAGCCCCCCCCCCCCCCAGGCTAAACATGAGAGATTTGGTCCACTGATTCTGAAAGAAATGGAGTCACAAGAAATTCACCAGGAAATTCAGGAATTGGATTGTTATGATGATGTTCCAGAAGGTGGTGACATGATTGTCATTGAATAGATGAGTAAATTCTTGATACTGTAGGATTCACAGTTTGTCTGGTTTGTGTTGACAACTACCGTACTACCGTACCGTATACAGGTGATAAATTTCCTTTATTTTCACTTAACAATAAATGTGTACCTCAGCTTCGTCTGCAGAACAAGCAGTATTTATTACGATGGCATTCTCAGTGTGAGTTGATCTGAGACATAGAGAAGGGCCCAAGAAAGTTTCAGAGCTCTCAAGGGACAGGGTGTCCAGCCTGAAGTTAGAAAGCGGTGGTCTAGGGCAGAGAACTGTGACATTCAGGCTCGGTGAACTTCCTTCGCCTCCTCAGAAACTCAAAGAGTTCACTGAGCCCAGCGAGGCCTGGAGGTCCCACAGAGGAAGTTAGATGTCCCCACAGTTCTCCCCAGCTCTGGTGCTTCAGAAGAGAAACTGGTGGAAACAGAGGAATCCTATCAGAGGGGTTGAGGAAAAGAGTCTAGGTCCAAGGTCACTGTGACCGACAGACCCTCCAGTGCCCCTCTATGCACAGTCCCTTCACTTGAGTGTGGGCAGGACCTGTGAATTGCTTCTAACCAAAAGAATACAGCTAAGGCTACCAAATGTTACTCTCAAGAGTAGAGTCAATTACATGGCAAAGCTGAGGAGATGTTACTTTCATGGCTAGGTTACGCTGTTTATGAGACTGTTTTGAGAGGAGGAACCAAGATGGCAACATAGGTAAACACCTGAACTTGCTGACTCGCACAACCACTTCAAAACTACAACTAAAAGACAAAAAGGACATCATCCAGAACCACAGGAAGGCTGGCTGAGTGGGATTTATACAGCTAGAAGGAAAGAGAAAAGCACACTGAGACTGGGAGAGAGTGGGGAGGTGCGGAAGTGAAGTTCAGAGGTACGGAGGTATGTGCAGAAAAGGGTTGACAACTGCATACGCTGTTGTCTTTTTCAATCGGGAGGGAGATACAAGCTCCCAACTGCTCTGAACTCCAGTTCCGGGCAAAACTCTGGGTATCCAGATTCATACAGGGAGAAACTGGACTATCTGGCATTCTCTCAGAGGTGCTTGCAGCAATCATTGTTTCTACATGGTGCCGCGGGACACAGAGACCTGGGGTCCTCTTTGGGGAAGGGCTGATGGTCAGCTTTTGCTGTTTGCTCCGCTCTGGTGATTCCCTGAGACCCCGTCCCACCCAATTTACAAAGCCATCCCAGCTGTGTGCAGAGGCTTTTGCATATGAATGGCCTGGCCTTTTGCAATCTAAACCTAACAAACTGCAGCTGGGTCAGAGAGCCCCAGAGCCTCCAAAAGAAGGCCAAAGGCTGGAAAGCAGCTTGCATTGCTTCACAGCTGGGCCTCATCTGGGCACCTCCAGACCTCAAACAAAGGGGAGGAATCTGCAGATCTCTCTTTAGCTCCTGCTGGGTGGCCTCAGGCAGAGGCTGATTCTGCACTTCCTTGGAGATCCAAGAGCCAGTGTACCCAATGGTCAGAGTGAGATCATCCAGATTACAACTCCTCAGATCCATAAGAGCTAAAGCCCCAATGAAGCAAGTCTTGCTCCATAAGAGTTTCTCCAGCATAGCATGTCCCCAGTAGGGGGTGTGCAAGAGGCAGCTGATCGATGACTCTCTCTCATTGATGTTTCTAGCTTTCTATCTCTCTCCCTTCCTCTCTGTACAAAATCAATAAAATATATTTAAAAAAAAAAAAGTTTCTCCAGCATAGAAATTCTACCATTGTAGACACAACTGATCCTCACAGCCAAATGGCTTGGAGGTCAATTCTTCCCAGTGATACCAACAGCAATCAAGACTTAACTACAACAAGGCTGTACACACAGTCCACAAAGGGGTGCACCAAGAATGTCCACCTCAGGTAACTGGGGAGGCTGAGCCACTGGGCCCTATAGGACACCTAGCATACAAAGCCACTCTGTCAACTCAGGGAAGCAGCCAAAATGCGGAGACAAAGAAACAGGGCACAAATGAAAGAAATAGAAGAAAGCAAACTACTGGATATAGAGTTCAAAACCATGGTTACAAGTTTACTCAAGAATCTTCTAGATACCTCTGAGAAATTTATTGAGACCTTTGAGCATATGAAAAAGACCAACTAGACATTAAGCATTTACACTGACTGAAATAAAGAATAACATACAGAGATCCAACAGCAGACTAGAAGATCCCAAGAACCAAGTCAAAGATTTGAAATACGAAGAAGCAAAAAACACTCAACCAGAAAAGAAAAAAGAATCCAAAAATATGAAGATAGTGTAAGGAGCCTCTGGAACAACTTCAAACGTACCAACATTTGAATTATAGGGATGCCAGAAGAAGAGTGACAGCAAGATATTAAAAACCTATTTGAATAAATAATGATAGAAAATTTCCTCTACCTGGTGAAAGAAATAGACTTACAAGTCCAGGAAGCACAGAGAACCCCAAACAAAAGGAATCCAAAGAGGGCCACACCAAGACACATCATAATTAAAATGCCAAGGGAAAAGACAAAGAGAGAATCTTAAAAGCAGCAAGAGAAAAACAGTTAGTTACCTACAAGGGAGTACCCAAACAATTGTCAGCTGATTTCTCAACAGAAACTATGGGAATGTGACAAGAAATATTCAAAGTGATGAATAGCAAGAACCTAATATCAAGATTACTCTACCTAGGAAAGCTATCATTTAGAATTGAAGGTCATCTAAAGAGCTTCACAGATAAGAAAAAACTAAAGGAGTTCATCACCACCAAACCAGAATTATATGAAATGCTACAGGGTATTATTTAAGAAGAGGAAGAAGAAGAAAAAGGTAAAGATAAAAATTATGAACAACATAGTGACAATAAATACCTATCTATCAACAAGTGAATCAAGTGAATAAAAAATCTGACGAACAGAATAAACTGGTGAATATAATAGAATCAGGGGCATAGAGAGTGGACTGACAATTCTCAGGAGGGAAAGGGGTGTTGAGGGGTGAGAAGAGTATGGACAAAAATCGTACATCTATGGATGAGGACAATGGGAGGGGTGTAAGGGCAGAGGGTGGAGTGGGAACCTACTGGAAGGGAGCTGTGGGAGGAAAAAGAGGAACAACTGTAATAATCTGAACAATAAAGATTTATTTATTTATTTATTTATTTATTTAAATATACTTTATTGATTTTTCACAGAGAGGAGGGAGAGAGATAGAGAGCCAGAAACGTCGATGAGAGAGAAATATCAACCAGCTGCCTCCTGCACACCCCCCACCAGGGATGTGCCCGCAACCAACGCACATGCCCCTGACCGGAATCGAACCCGGGACCCCCCAGTCCACAGACTGACGCTCCACCACTGAGCCAAACTGGCTTTGGCAAGATTTATTTATTATTATTATTATTATTTTTTTAAAGACTGTTTTGCTAGTGCATTCTAGAGAAATAGTGGAACTATGGAGAGGGTCATCTATCAAGGAAGTGTGGGAAGCCTCTAAGAGCTGAGATGGGCCCCCTGGCCAACAGTCAGCAAGAAAACAGGACTTAAGTCCTATAAACATAGCAAGTGAGCTCTGTCAACAAGGCGAGGAGCTTGAAAGCGGATCTCTCCCCAGTCAAGCTTATGATGAGAACATAACCCTGTCCAAGAAGACCCAAGGCAAGAGAACCCAGCTAATGTGTGCCTGGACTTCTGACCTACAGAAATTATGAGACAATAAATGTGTTATTATAAGCAACAATGCTTGGTGGCGATAGAAAACGAAAACAGTAATGATGTCCTGGGGTTGATAGAAATTTTCTCTCCTTTCGCTTTCCTGTTCTGTCGTTCCTCTCTCTCTGGCTGACTCTCTCCCATCTTTCATCTTTTTCTCCTCTTTTCATCTTTATATTCCTCTCTCAAAACACTAGCTGCCAAACTTATTGTGCTTCGCTCAAGCCATCGCTCAGTCATACACCAGTTCCATGGCCTTGGGCACATTACGTTGTCCACCTGGCCTTTAATTTCCTTATCTGTAAATAGAAATAATAAAAACAAAGGTTGCTTTGAGGATTAAAAGAAATAATGCACCGAAAGCGGTTTGGCTCAGTGGATAGAGTGTCGGTCTGGGGACTGAAGGGTCCCCAGGTTCGATTCCGGTCAAGGGCATGTACATTGGTGGCGGGCATATTCCCAGTAGCGGGTGTGCAGGAGGCAGCTGGTCGATGTCTCTCTCTCATCGATGTTTCTAGCTCTCTATCCCTCTCCCTTCCTCTCTGTGGAAAATCAATAAAATATATTTTAAAAAAAAGAAAAGAAAAAAGAAATAATGCACATAGGCACATAAATGGTTAGCCAGAGTTTGTGGGCACAGTGAGCAGGAAAAGGACACAGGTGCTGGGGAAAGTCTAGGGCCCAAAACAAGGTATGACCTCCACGCTGGTGGCCCTGAAGAGCCAGGCAGGGTGTCTATGGCTTTCATTCTTTCATCTGACAACATCCAATTTGCATACCGCATGGAGAAACCAAGAGGACTCTGCCACGGCCCCTGCCTTCTGTGTGAGCCCGGGTTCTAGGAACACGGCTGTTTCTGGGCACCAGCAGTAGAGATGGGCCTGCCCTGCACTCTCCTTACGCACCAAACCCACCCAGCCACTGGCTGAAGGCGTCCTTGGCCGGTGATGTAGGATCACTTTTGCCTGGAGGGTTTGGATCACAGGCTTGGCGACATGCGGAGGAGTCAACAGAAACTACTGGAGGTAGTTAGTATACAGAGCAACTGGTTTAACAACGCCTTATTACACAGAAGGGGAAACGGAAGCCCGGGGGAAAAAGAGAATTTGCCTACGTTAACAGCTGGACCCAGCTAGCAGTCCTCCGTTCAGCGAGCTAACAACCTACGAGGGACACAAGTCCAGATACGTGGAAAATAAAGGGATATTGAGAGGTGATAATTCCAGCCCTAGCCGGTTTGGCTCAGTGGATAGAGCACCGGCCTGCAGACTCAGAGGTCCCAGGTTCGATTCCGGTCAAAGGCATGTACCTTGCTTGCGGGCACATCCCCAGTGAGGGGTGTGCAGAAGGCAGCTGGTCGATGTTTCTCTCATCGATGTTTCTAACTCTCTATCTCTCTCCCTTCCTCTCTGTAAAAAATCAATAAAATATATATTTTTTAAAAGAACAAGAAGAGAAAGGTGATAATTCCAGAAGTATTTACATAGGCAGAGAGGAAAGGAGAGGACCCAAGTCAGGGGCATGGCTAGGATAAAACACAGAGGTGGGACAGCTTAAAATGAACCCATGGTAAGGAGTTGGAATAGAGCCATAAGGAAGGGTGAAGAGTGGTTAACAAGCCAATCCTGTTTTCAAGGACAACAGGTGTGATAATACTCGTATGCCATCGGTCCAAGATGAAGGCAGAGCCTGTGGCTTCTAACAAAAACATCAAATGGCCTCAAGTCATTTTGGGGGGTGGCGTTTCTCCTGCATGGAGTCTTTTCCTCATGCTTCCTCCACTGCTTCTCCTTATGCCTGTCCCTCAATGACCTTCTAAATGGTAGGGGCAGCCGGCCAGCATGGCTCAGTGGTTAAGCATTGACCTATGGACCAGAAGGTCGCGGTTCGATTCCTGGTCAGGGTATAAGCCAGGGCTGTTGGCTTGTTCCCCCAGTATGGGGCATGCAGGAGGCAGATGATCAATGATTCTTTCTCATTATTGATATTTCTATATCTCTCTCTCACTCCTTGTCTCTGAAATAAATAAAAAATATCTATATCTCTAAATAAAAGGGTAATATGCAAATTGGTCACGATGCTCTCACAGTAACAACTGACCAGCAGGCTGCGTGGGGTGACCGGGTCAGCAGGCGGGGGGGGGGGGGGTAGTTAGGGGCGATCAGGCTGGTAAGGGGGGAAGTTGGGGGGCGATCAGGAACACAGGTGAGCAGTTAGGAGCCAGTGATCCCATATTGTGAGAGGGATGTCCAATTGCCAACAGTCAGACATCCCCAAGGGGTCCTGGATTGGAGGGGATGCAGGCTGGGCTGAGGGGACCCCCTTCCCCCATGCATGAATTTCATGCACTGGGCCTCTAGTATTTAAATAAAAAAATAAAAGGTGGGCAGAGGCTTACTATGCTGATCTTTGTTATCCATGGATAACAATTCTGCTATCTGCAAGGTCTATGACCCCTGATAATACTTTTTATTGATGTATTAGTCTGTGTTTTGTACAGAAGAGGCAGTGATGACCTAATAGTTGAGAACACAAGTTTTGAAATCACACATGATTCAAATTGCTTAATTTCCCTGTGCAGCTGTTTTTTATATATTTTTAATTTAAAATTTTATTTATTTTTAAATATATTTGTATTGATTTCAGAGACGAAGGGAGAGGGTGAGAGGCATAGAAACATCAATGATGAGAGAATCATTGATTGGCTGCCTCCTGCATGCCCCCTACTAGGAATCTAGCCCGGACACACACACACACACACACACACACACACACACCCCGCATGTGCCCTTGACCGGAACTGAACCTAGGACCTTTCAGTCCGCAGTCCAGGGGTCCTCAAACTTTTTAAAGTGGGGGCCAGATCACGGTCCCTCAGAGAGCTGGAGGGCTGGACTATATGAACTACTAATTCCTACTGTAACACCTCGGCTGCACTCACTGCCCAAAAAACCTGGCGGGCCGGATCAGACTCCTCTGCGGGCTGCATGTGGCCCGCGGGCCGTAGTTTGAAGACGCCTGCTACCCACTGAGCCACGTTGGCCAAGCAGTTTATTGATTTTGAGAGAGAGACATTTATTTCCACTTATGCATTCATTGGTTGTTTCTTGTATGTACCCTGATGGGGTGGGGTGGAGGGGTGGGGAGGATGGAACTGCAACCTTGAGGTATAGGGATGACACTTTAACCAGCTGAGCTGCGGGGCCAGGGTGTGCCTCTGTTGTTGTTTTTGTTGTTGTTGTTTTTGTTTTTAAATTTCTTTATTGATTAAGGCATCACATATTTGTCCTCAGTCCCCCATTCCAATCCCCCCCCACACACACACACACACTCATGCCCTCACCCCCCTATTGTCCTTGACCACTGGTTAGGCTCATCTGTATGCACACAGGTCCTTTGGTTGATCTCTCCCTTTTATCCCCACCCTCCCTCTGAGGTCCAACAGTCTGACCCATGGCTCCTTATCTCTGGGTCTGTTCCTGTTCATCAGTCTACGTCGTTCACCATTTCCCTAGATGAGTGAGATCACGTCCTACTGGAAATATACTTACAAGAATAAAAAAACGAGACAAGCTATAATAGTTATGCTGAAAGGCATATGCATCAGTCTGCGTGCCTCTGTTTCTTCATGGCAAAGAAAACATCAAGGCAAGCACTGTTGCCAGCTGGGCACGAATAACGCATGCGAGTAAGGGGCATTCTCTAAGACTCAGCGACCCCTACATGCCCATCAAAAGCGGGGGGATGCACAGGAGGGAGCAGGAAGCAAGGAACTAGGTTAACACAGCAAAGCAGCTCTCCAAACGTTAGTTAGGGGTGGGGGAGGAAACAAGAGGTGCAGTCCTCCATGCAGATTGTGCAAATTAAAAACTCTTGACACAAACAGGATTGGGGAGAAAGCCAAGAGAACGGCCTAGGCCTGAGGGCAAGACTGAGGGGTATGGGTAACAATACCAAGAAAACACACAATGCGCAATCGAGGCGTTTTCCGTCGGTGACCAGCAGACGAACTTTCCCGGCCCCGTGCAGGGAGGAGGAGGGAGCCGCGCGCTCCCCGCCCTCCCCCCGCCCTCCCCCGCGGCCTCACGCTATTGGCCCCGCGGCCGCGGCCCCCTTGGGACCCGGCCAAGGCCTTGGCCCAGGGGCGCGCTCAGGCTTTTAAAGCGGCGGGGGCGGGTGCTGGTGCCGGGTCCTACCCCCGAGTATCCGTCCCTCTCCCCCTCCTCGCAGCCCAGGCCCAACGGGGACCGAGACGACCGGTCCGGACCTAGAGTCCCCATCCCAAGGAGTGCCGGGGAGGCCAGTCAGGGGGTCCCCCCTTCTCGGGCAACCTAGACGAGGACGCAGGGGATCGGGGTACACATCCTGAAATATATTCGACGACCCTCCGGTCTCAGTCTTTCCGTGGGCACCGCCTGGGCCGGGCCGCAGCGCCCGGCGCCCCCCTCCTGAGCTCGGCCCCGGCCCGCCCAGGCCGCCCGCCCGCCCCCGGGGTGCTCCCGGGGAGCGCGGAGAGCGCACTCACCGGTGTCGGGACCCTCCAGGGCGCGCACTTGGATCTCGGGGTCCCGGGCCGCGGCAGCCGAGGCGCAGCGGCGGGCGGGCAGGGGCCCCCGGGGGCGCGCTAGGCGCGGGGCGCGGGCCAGGGAGCGCAGCATGTGGGCGCGGGGCTGGGACGGCGCGGCCGGCGGCGCCCCACCTGCGCTCCCGCTCCCCGCCCGCCCGCCCGCAGGTCGGCAGGAGGCTGCGCACTGCTCCCCCTGGCGGCCGCGGGCCGCGCTGCTCGCCGCCGGCGGGGGACGCCTGGCCCCGCCGCGGGGTTCGGGGCAAGGCTGCCGGCGTCTCTTCATGCAAGCGGCAGTGTTTAATCTGTAAAGCGGGGACAATGATAGTGACCACTGGAGAGGAGAGAGGCAGCGCCGGTTATAGTCCTGACCACAGGTTTAAAACCTGTTGCAAAAGGGAAAAGTCCAGCCGAAACCGGTTTGGCTCAGCGGATAGAGCTTCGCCCTGCGGACTGAAAGGTCCCAGGTTTGATTCCGGTCATATCCCCAGTGGGAGGTGTGCAGGAGGCAGATGATTCTTTCTCATCGATGTTTCTAACTCTTTATATCCCTCTCCTTTCCTCTCTGTAAAAAATCAATAAAAAAAAATATTTTAAAAAAAGGAGGGTGGTCTTGAGCCGGATCTGAGACTGGAGAGCACAAAAGCCTGAGGCAAATGCTCGGATTGTTGGAACTGCTCTGCATCCTGTTAACTGCATCCTGAAGAGTCCAAGCATGTGTTGCAACTCATGGGACCTGACACCAATAAAGGGTATGGGTGAGGGTGGGGGTGGGGGGGGATTTCAAGTGTTGTGGGGTCGAACCCTGGGTTCAAAATAAGACCACCACAGGCTGATGATTGATTTTAAAAAGCAGATGGGCAGATGGAGTCCAGGTGTTCCAGGTGTAGGCAGTTTTTTTAAAGGTCCAAACCACAGGAATTTTCCTTTGTTCCAAATTCTAAAGGCTGGAAACATTGGAATGTGGCCCTATCTTGCAATAGCCAATAATACAGAAGCAGAGCTCAGCGGTTAATCTCAGTTTCTACCCCTGCAGCTACTGTAATTCTCGTCCCAGGCACAGGAAAATTGCCTTAGCCTCCAGGTTTTCACCTGGAAGCTGAGGTAACTACCCTATTGTTTAAGCAAGTAAGCAAATGAATAGCAGGGTTAAAATTCAAACAGCAGTTTTTACCCAAGTATGGTTGCTACCATATTTCACAAAGTTCAGTGACTAACTTTGTGACCTTTTCAATCTCTCCGAAGCTCATTCACATGAGTTGTTTGTTTTGTTTTAAGTAGTTTTTTAAAATATATTTTATTGATTTTTTAGAGAGGAAGAGAGAGGGATAGAGAGTTAGAAACGTCAATGAGAAACATCGACCAGCTGCCTTCTGCACACCCCCCACTGGGGATGTACCCGCAACAATGTACATGCCCTTGACCAGAATTGAACCTAGGACCTTTCAGTCCGCAGACCGACGCTCTATCCACCGAGCCAAACCGGTTTCGGCTCATGAGTTGTTTTGTTAGGGTTACAGGAGGTGACAGAAACAAAGGCTTTTGCCCTTAAATATATTTTATTTATTTTATCCTTTTTATTTGCAGATTCTGAATTGCAAATTTGTCTACTCATGAAAATTGTAACCCCAAAGTCAATACTCCAAGAGTTCTTTAGGTGGCAAAAATTTTGAGTGGTGCTTTGTGCATAAAAACTCCTAATTAAAAGCACGTCAGCTGAGGTCGAACAAGCCCAGACAGTACTTGTTTTAGCTTTCATGCTGTGAACAAGTGTCCCTATCATGATCTATTTTATGTCACTTTTTTTTGTTTTGTTTTGTTTTTGCATTTTGGTCCTTTTTGTTGGTGATTTCACTGTTTAAAAATGGTCCCTAAGCCTGAAGTGCTGTCTGGTAGACATAAGTGCAAGAGGGTGTGATGTGCCTTATGAATAAAATAATCTTGGATAAACTTATTTCAGACATGAGTTACAGTGCTATTGGCCTTGAGTCCAATGTTAATGAATCAACTATATATGTATACAATATTGTTTCACATTTTTAAACCATCAACAAGAAGGAAGGGCAACTGAATGTGTTGTAGTGTAACCCCCATCTTACAAAGGACACCTCAAAAAGTGGAATTATGGAGTCATTTATTAAAAACCCGCAACATATGAGGGAGCAAAAGTGCTCCAGATCTCACAGCCCCAAACAACTTGCCACGCCTGGCTTCTATTGGCAGAAAATCACAAAGTATGGATTACATCTTTGAGTCTGGAATGAGGAACCTGTTTCTCGAAAAAAAAGCATTTTCACAGAAGCAGAATCTGAGCAAGTTAGTTATCTAAAGTATCTACGAATCACTGAATCATCAGAAACACATAATCTGAGACCACCTGGACAATTTAGAATAATTGTGCTGTCCAGATTCTGGGATCACTGAGTCCACAGGAATGCACTATCTTAGCTACTGAGACAATTTAGGATAATTGATCTGTCTTTGGCCCCAGGAATGTGCTTCGATAACCAGTGAGATCACAATCAATGGGATATTCAAACTATCATCAGTGGAGTATTGGGATAGCAAACATAAGTTCAGAAAATCAAAATAACTGTTAAATAAGTACAGAACCCAAAATAGCAAGGTTAAAATATTAAATTTTATATTTTTTTATTGATTTTTCACAGAGAGGAAGAGAGAGGGATAGAGAGTTAGAAACATCGATGAGAGAGAATCATCGATCAGCTGCCTCTTGCACACCCCCCACTGGGGATGTGCCCGCAACCAAGGTACATGCCCTTGTCCGGAATCGAACCCGGGACCTTTCAGTCCGCAGGCTGACACTCTATCCACTGAGCCAAACCGGTCCCAGCGCAAGGTTAAAATATTAAACAACAATTTTTACCCAAGTGTAGTTGCTATCATACTTCAAATGAAAGAAGATATTTGCAAATTATACACACACACACACACACACACACGCACACATGCACACAAACAACAATTTTGGGTTAATATCCAAAATACAGGGTGGGGTTTATAGTTGTTTGTATGGAAAGTAATATAATAATTAACAAATAATAATACAAGAATAAATAATTTCACATACTCATAGCTGAAAACCTACTTTTGCCACATCCTATATTTAAAGAACTTATACAATTCAACATCCCAAAACCCACAACCCAATTAAAAAACAGACAGAGGACATGAATAGACATTTCTTCAAAGAGGATATACAGATGGCCAACACACTCATGAAAAGATGCTTGACATCACCAATCATTGGGAAATGCAAATCAAAAGTACAATGAAATATCACCTCACACTTGTCAGATTGACTATTATAAAAAAGACAACAAATGGCAATTGTTGGCAAGGATGTGGAGAAAGGGAACCCTCGTGCACTGTTAGTGGGATTGTAAATTGGTGCACCACTATGGAAAACATCATGGGGCTTCCCCCAAAATTAAAAATGACGCAGCTGCCAAACCTAAACTAAATCTATCCACTGGTTTGACTCAATGGATGGTGTGTCTGCCTGCAGACTGAAAGGTCCCAGGTTCGATTCTGGTCAAGGGCATGTACCTTGGTTGTGGGCACATCCTGGTAGAGGGTGTGCAGGAGGCAGTTGGTCGATGTTTTCTTCTCATCGATGTTTCTAGCTCTCTATCCCTATCCCTTCCTCTCTGCAAAAAAAATCAATTATATATATATATATATATATATATATATATATATTTCAAAAAGATATATAGTATACACCTATGTTCATTGTAGCATTGTTTGCAATAGCCAAGAAATAGCAAGCTAGGTGTCCATCCATAGATGAGTGGATAAAGATGTGGTAAATTCATACAATTAAATATTACTCAGCTATAAAAAAATCTTGCCATTTGTGATAATGTGGATGGGTTTAGATGGTATTGTGCTAAGTGAAATAGGTTGGACAGAAAGACAGTATCATATGATTTCACTTACATGTAGAATCTAAAAAAAAGAAACAAACAAACAAAATCAAACAGAGACTCATAGATGCAGAGAACAAACTGATGGCTATGAGAGGGAAGGTAGGAAGGGGATTGGGTGGAAAAAGGCCTGTATCTTCCTTGACAAAAGTCAGTCTTTACCTTAATTGAGCCAGTCAGTCTATTGACTCGCTTTTAGTTAGGAAATTTTATGTTCAGACCATTCGATGTGGTTATTTTAGGTCTCCTGAGTTTGTAAGGCCCACCATGCAGGCCTCCCCTGAGCTTGTTACTTTTTTGTTGTTGTTGTTTTTTTTAAATATATTTTATTGATTTTTCACAGAGAGGATGAGAGAGGGATAGAGAGTTAGAAACATCGATGAGAGAGAAACATCCATCAGCTGCCTCCTGCACATCCCCCATTGGAGATATGCCTTCAACCAAAGGTACATGCCCTTGACCAGAATTGAACCTGGGACCCTTCAGTCCGCAGGCCGACTCTCTATCCACTGAGCCAAACCGGTTTCGGCAAGCTTGTCAGTTTTAGTATGTGGCCTCCACTAGGGATTTCATCCACACTAGGGATTCACACTCACAAATATACGGTATATATTTTTAATTTTTAACATTAACTTTAGAGAGAGAGAGGAAGGGAGCAAGCAAGAAACATTAATCTGTTGTCCCACTTACTTATGCATTCATCCATTGTTTCTTTTAAAAAAAAATACATTTTATTGATTTTTATACAGAGAGGAAGGGAGAGAGATAGTTAGAAACATCGATGAGAGAGAGTCATTGATCAGCTGCCTCTTGCACACCCCCTACTGGGGATATGCCCGCAACCAAGGTACATGCCCTTGACGGAATCGAACCCGGGACCCTTCAGTCCCCAAGCCGACGCTCTATCCATTGAGCCAAACCGGTCCCGGCATCCGTTGTTTCTTGTATGTGCCTTGACCAGGAATCTAACCTACAACCTTGGCATGTCAGGCTGATGCTCTAACCAACTGATCTACCCCGCCAGGACACAAACATTTTTGCAACACAATTACTGGCATAAAATTGAGATGAGTTGTGTACAATATGGGAGGTGAGGCAGTGAAGTCCATGTATGTAGACAATGCCGGGAGGAAATGAAATGCCATTTTAAAAATGAGATAACATTGAGCTTATCTGTCTACAAAGAGCTACATAGC